GTTTGCATTTTATGGCATTAATATACATTCTATATAGAATATTAAAGATGACAACAATAGTCAGCGTGAAGCAAACATGAAGTCTTAATATGAACACATAATGGCAATAAACAGAATTTCGAAAAATATAAATAAACATTATTTTTGCCTGACAAACATTATATTGCATGATTTGTTACAAACATTAATTACCTCCGTATTGCTTCAAATAGTATTTGAATGAATTTACAAAGTTTTTGTAATTGCATAGGACTTGAATTCGTTAATAACATTTTAAATTTTATGATGTTTGGATTCCTATAATAATATCTGTTAATATATATGTTTTCTGTGGTCAGCAAAAAAGGTACATTTCAACAGATAATGGAGTTCATCTCCTATGTCATTTAAACTACAAAGAGAACATTTTCTCTCAGAAATATCTGTACCTTCCCATCTGCCGATTTCTATCGGGAAAAAATGGTTTCCTGTTCTAAATTTAATCATATTTATAAAATCTTCCTTATCAAGAGTCAATAAATAATTTTCAAGACATATATTTTCTTTGTATAGAGAATAATTTCTCCCTTTGCTTGAATGTTGTAAAGTTTCATGCCCCATTTGATAATTCTGATCTAAAAGTACCTGTTTTATAACAGATTTGATCGTTTTGCTCTGAATATTTGTCTGATTTAGCCATAAGTCATTCCTACCCGTATTTGAAAGTATACTTTTAATGCAGCTGAGCCATTTAAATTCAAAATCTTGGCAATTAATCATATATTGATACATTTTGTATGCAATTTTGTTTCTGTTTCCTAATATTAATCTGTTCCAGAAACCAATCATCCTGCATTTAATTGTAATATTAATTTGGTATCTGCCAAATTCTGCAGGGGTGTACTTGTTCTAAGATGTAAGACTTTTCTAAGGAACTCTCAATGTATTCTCGGTCTTCATAGCCCCAAATTTCAGATGCATATGTTAAAATTGGCAGTACAGTATGATCAAATAATTTAAATATAAGGTCTATAGGCAAATTTAGGTTATGAATTCTTTTATACAATAAGTGCATAGCCTTTTTTGCTTGCTGTGCTAAATGTTTTCTGTTATTTAAGAAACTGCCTGATTTTGAAAACAATGTCCCTAAATATTTATAAGTGCTAACAATTTCCAAAGACATCTCCCCAATTTTAAAAGAGAAATTTCTATCAGACCTTGAGCCAAAGATTAATACTTTAGTTTTATTGGCATTATATATTAAGATTCCAAGTATTACAATACGTGACAAAATCATTAAGACATTTTTGAAGTTTTTTCGGGTCTTCTGATATCAAAACCGTGTCGTCATCGTAAAGAAGAACTAAAATTTTTAGGAAATTAATGAATTCATCATCTTGACTTTGGGTAGAAAATATAATTCCTGTATTGTTTCTATCTTCAAGATATTTCTCTAAATCATTCAAAAAGAGTGAAAAAAGTACAGGGGATAGATTTTCCCCTTGACATACCCCACAATTACAATCGAAAAAGGCAGAATTTTCATTATTTTTGGAAACACAAGACTTAATGTTATTATACATGTTCAACACTAGCCTCATAAATTTACCGTTGATATTAGTATTTAGTAATTTTTGCCATAAACCTACTCTCCATATGGAATCGAAGGCCTTAGAAAAATCAACAAATATACAAAACAATTTCTTTCCCTTTTTTTCTCAAAATTTCAGTAATAGAATTTATAGTAAATATATGGTCTAAAGTTGAATAGTTCTTCCTAAAGCCCGCTTGGTTTTCATTTAATAAATTGTTTTCCTCCAAAAACAAGTTTATTCTGTTATTCAGCACTGATGTAAAAAGGTTACCTATGCAGCTTAATAATGTAATAGGGCGATAATTTTCAGGGTTGTCTGTTTCACCCCCTTAGACCATTGAGTAGGTATTTTGCCAGTATTTAAGATTAGGTTGAAAAAAGAGATATAGGTGGTCAACAATTTCTCTTTGGAGCATTTTATATATTCGTTAAGCACATTGTCTAAACCAGAAGATTTGTTATTACTAAGTGCATTAATACATTTTTCTATTTCATCCCTTGTAATTTGGCAATTTAAAGTATTGTTATTATACGATATATCGATATTGTTGATAATTTCAGACTCATCGGTGTCATGCTCAACATTATTATAAGCATCCTTAAAATATTCGTATAGAGATTCTAAACTAAGCATTTCTACATTTGGCTTATTATTGACTTTATTGAGGTATTTCCAGTAATCCTTCGGTCTTTTGCTCTGCATATTTCTAAGTTTTGATTCGGTATTTTTATTATACTTATTTAAATGTTTATTCATTATTTTCTTATATTTATTACATAATTCTTGTAAGCGTAATCTATTCTCCTCAGTGGGATGTTTGCAATATCTCTTACATACTTTATTATAAAGTTTCCTTGCCTGTTTACACTCGAACCCATACCATGGTTTATGATTTTTGCTGTAAGAGTGAAATCTTTTCCTTTCGGGAAAAGTTATGTTGGCACTACTAAGAAAAATGTTAATTGGTCTAAACTTGATATCATTCTTGGTAATATAACAAATAAATCAGTGATAAACCAGTTAATCATACTTGCTAAATACTATATATATCAGAGTAAGATGAAAATGACAGTACCTGATTTTTCAACTTTTAAAAAGCATTTCTTTTACTATTTTAAAGCAGAACATTTGGTCGCTGTCCAAACTTTTAATCTAAATAAGTTTAATATAATTTGGGCCCCACTAGCATCACTTGCACCGACACAGGACAGGTAGTATATTTGTTTACTTTATATATGTGTTTAATTAATGTATAACTTTATGCTGTGATTTTTGTTTAAATCATGGTTTGCTTGACTTTTGGTTTGCTCCATCTTTTAAATGGTTTTTTTTTTTTGTTCAACAAGCTAGATAAAAAACATCCACCTGACACTCTTGAACCTTTATTTTCTTATTTTTTTTTTTCTTCAAAACTTTAAACATTCATATGATTTTGTTAGAACTATGCATTTAACATCTTATATTGTTAGAACTATGCAAGAATAGTGTCATTCTGCTTGAGTTCATGTAGATAATTCTAAGATTTAAATTGACCCCTTAATGCATATGTTTTTTTCATATTTTAGATAACTCTTTTGTATATAAAAAAAAATCAATCTGGAATTACAGGCAAATCATTATAACAAGGTATATATACTATAATAATTTTAACAAAGACATTAGTCATTATTCATGACTGTTCGGAAGGCATATTATTGTTGTTGTTTTTTTCCTTTCCAGTAAATGGATGTAATATTCTCTCTAGTCATCTTTGTTTTCTTAGTTCTGTATAAGTAATAGATATATATCCTAATAAATGTCTTTTATAATGACTAAGAATTGTATATGATTATAATTTATTGTATGTACTTGTGAATTTGTAACAAGTCTCAGAACATGTTAAATTTCCTATATACCCAGAAAAGGTGAATATTGAATATTCAATCGAAACTTAGACTTAGACTGTAACAATTTCAGAGAATAGTTTTTGTTTATAAGAAAATCAATGTTCATTTTGATTTTACGAGCTCAAAAAAAAAAAACATTGCTTTATTCATTTATAGTAAAATAGAGAATAGGTCAAATGTTAACTGTAAATTATAAAGAAGTATCTGAAAATGTCTAATGTTTGTTCATATACATTTAGAAAATACTATAAGTATGTAATGTCCTTGTGAATTTATATGCATTTATATACTATTGTATGTCTTTGTGAATTTCAAGATATGTTATAATGTTTGTATGTGAAATCAGAAAATAAAGTTACAAATTAAAAAAAAAAAAAAAGAAAAATGTTAGCCAGTTTTGAAGATAAATCATCTATATGAATTTGATCAACGTTTCCAGACATTTGACAAATCTCATTATTTATTTTAATAATATTTTCAGTATTTATATTTCTAACAAAATGACTTGCAAGTTCATTGTTCCATTTTGGTTTGCTTGTATTTTTATTAATAGTATTGTTTGACATTACGCTTTTAGTTCTAATTTGACATTGTATCAGCGCGTGACCATCTGAGTATAAATTATCAAGGTCAGTTATTTGGAAGTCATTTAATAGTGGGTATCCACCTAATGATGATATCAAATAATCAATGACTGAAACATTTCTAAAGGTCATATTGCCAATGTTTTTATCTGATATCTCGGAGGTGGTTGTATATATATGGATTGGTTGTTGCTATGTTGGTTTACTTTAAGCGATACCACTAGTTCTGTTATCATTGGATTTTTTTATCGTTTCTGAGAAAAAAGTGCAGGCAAATGCCAAAAGTGCATTGCTTTTACATCATTGTACCTCAAGCATGCAGTGAATAAATACTCTTTACTATTAGATTTTATTTGGAATGTATAAATGAGCAGCTACAGTGAAAAAGAAAAACCACAAGCTAAAATGCATGTCCCTCAAATACTGAACAGATACGTTACCACACTTCAGTTTAACCTGTGTAAGAATAATATGCGAACTTGTCACATATCAATAGTTGGCAAATTTATAATAATTCATTATTAAAGAATTATTTTGACTAAATCTACATGCAAGAACCAAAATAACTTTGCTATGCTGGGGGCAATTTTAATTATATATTTAATGAAACAGATACGTTATTAAGATATCCAATTGAGAATCATTACTTGAAAGTAAAATTAGATCGCATTTATGCATCAATTTAATCATTTCAATACATGCTTTAAAATATGAATATTTTGATTTTTTTTTGCAAAGATACGCTACCAACTGTTGCGTTACCAATATTTGCTAACTGAATATTAATTGAAATGGTTTCGTGTAAAACTTACATCATAATCTACAGGGCTGGGAATTAAAACTGCGTCTCATCCTACAAAATGTAAACAAACACCGCCATCTTGGAACGAAAAAATGTATGTTTTTGTTTATATCTTTTTTTGTTGGACTGGTTTTCAGTCATTTCCAACAAAAAGAGTTATAAACAAAACATACCTTTTTCGTTCCAAGATGGCGGCGTTTGTTTACATTTAGAAGGATACGACGCAGTTTTGATTCCCAGCCCTGACCTAAGCATAGTCGTTTTTATTGGAAACAGAATATGTGAATTCAAGGATGTGATATCTTATTTGTTTGCAAGATTTGTATTAAAATAAAATGTAGAGGATTGTATAACTTCTGGTAACGTATCTGTTCATCATAGTAACGTATCTGTTTAGAAAAAGATTTGGGCAATAATTAATATAAAATTATGTTACTAAATCTTCAGCAAAACTATGGTTTAAGTATATAACAGCATTGTAGCTTATTAAAAAAAAACATAATAAAATAATTTTAAATGAATCTCGGAGGTGGTTGTATATATGGATTGGTTGTTGCTATGTTGGTTTACTTTAAGCGATACCACTAGTTCTGTTATCATAATTTTGTTAAATGTTCAAGGCTCAAAACGACAAAGGTTAATAAAGAAAACCAAGTTACACTATGATACACTCGCATTACTTTAGCTGTTACGTATTCTAATAGACGAGTGTCTTTATTCAAATGTTCTTGTTTGTTCATTCAGTTCCTTAAAATTGTTATTTGACTATTTGAAGCTGCACGTGACAACAATAGAAACATAACAATTATTGTAAATGATCCTGTATGTTCTGTTGGATATATATACTACTGCTTGAGACATAGTATTTATTTGTCAGCTGTTTTAAACAGTTTATGAATATTCATGTACGTTTTCGTGGTTTTTCATCAATTTGTTAAAAGTAGAACGGTGTAACAGATACGTAACTATGATTTGATATTCCTTTCCACTTATAAGAAGATAATGTATGTGGAATAGACAAGTCTGATTAATAAGTAACATTTTCATCAGTTTCAGTTCTGAAGCTATCTCATAGAAGTTTTTTTTAAATGCATGTCAATGAATGACATTTCGTACTATACCGGTGCAATATTGTTGAAAGAATATCAGTAATTTGTAAATCATATATATTCATGCTAATAAATTCTATTTAGCCTCTCAAAGTCATTGGAAAAAATTTATTTGCCATGGTCAATTCTTTAATATTACTTACAGCCGAATTATAATGGTAAGTGGAGAATCAATGATTATCGGACACTACTAGCCGACGGATACTGCTTCGATATCAGTAGGATTGAAAATAAAACGATCTGCAGAAATAAGAATACAGAAGTTCAAAACTTTGGAAATTTGTTGAAGTTGAATGAATATTACAATATTTGCAAACAATGTCACATGTTCTGAAGCATTGGAGAGAAGCTGCGACTCTGCTACTTGTTGCTAAAGCCATGGTACCAGTTGTCACGTCGTATCAGACGACAAACTTTGAGGTGTTGATGCTGAAGAGAAGTGGCAAGTCAAAATTTATGCCAAAATTGCACGTTTTTCCAGGAGGTGTGGCTCATGACTCTGATTTTTCACCTGAATGGTTGGAACTATTTAGCCAAGCTGGAAAGGATGTTGTGAAAAATATGCAAATCTTCCTTGAACGTGGTGGAAAAGGTGCTTATATGTTCAGTCGAACTAGACCAGAAGAGTTTTCTAAAATACACAGTGAACTGGCTTTCAGAATTTGTGCGATTAGAGAGACGTTTGAAGAATCTGGTGTTTTAATTGCTAGAGATCTAAATCATGTTAGAAATGAACAAATCACTGGAAAAGATCATCCTATTTCTGGAAAGTCGTCAGTACTGTCTGACTCAATTTTGAAACCATGGAGAGAAAGGGTAGACAATGATGCATCACAATTTATTGCTATGTGTAAAGAGCTTAATCTGTTGCCAGACATATGGTCACTGTATGAATGGTCAAATTGGCTCACACCAATTCTCCCTGGACAACATGGACAGACAACTGCAAGGAGATATGACACAGCTTTTTATTTGTGTGTCCTTGACTACACACCTAATGCTGAACATTGTGCCAAAGAAACCACAGAGCTTGAAGTAATAAAATGCTAGTAATACTAAATTAGAACAAAACTAAGCTTTTTTACACAAGATAGTCATAGGGGTGGGGATGAAAGGTATGGTGATTGTGGAAACATTGATGCCAACTATTTATATAATAATTTATTATAAAGGAAAATTCTACTGCTAAGCATACTGAAGGGAGTTTTTATAATACTAAATTGTGTAAGTCCACAAATTAAAACTGTGCAGTGTCAGGCAGAGTAATATTTCCAATGGTCATCAAAAGCATACTATTGATCAATACAATTTACTTCACATTTGATATCATTATATAAGCGAATAACGGGATATAAGTATTATTCTTTTTATATACCCCTTGCCAATCACTTCCCTATTGTAACATTTTATTGTATTAAGAGAAAACTCACACCTGAGGCATATATAGTCATGCAATATTTCAACATCTCTAAGTCTTAGTCACTGACTTTTACTCTCATTTCTAGATGTTTATAATTGATTTTAGACAAATGAGATTTCTTTTTCTGATTACAGTTAGAGTTATATTAAAAATATGTTACAGTTGTTACAGACGTTTGCTGGCTTGTGAGTGCTGCATTTTCATAAAAAAACTCATTAACCTTAACAAGTTAAAAATAAAAAAAAATAAAGATCAACAAGCCAAAGGTAACGTTCACAGGACGCAGCCCCAAAAAAGTTTATATTTCAACAAATTATCTAAGTGATACCCGAAGCTAAATAAAGTGATTGCTGTAATTAAGTGATTAACCTTATCAATACAATATAACAGCGACATTGGATATTTCAGTGGACATCTGCTAGTGGATTTCTTCTCAAGAATCTAGACGAAAAGAACCCTCTTCATCTGGCATCTCCTCAAATAATAGAGCTTGGTAGGATCCTTCGTTTTTCTGATGCAGAAAAACTAAAACAATTTTCATGGGAAAGATCAGCATGCAGGGCGCAATGCTTTTACCCTGTAACTTGTTATTGTGATGACGGGGTACTATATATATGTCAAGGTAAGGTTTGCCGATTTTAGCTCTTCTTTATTCAGCTTTAATATATTTAGTTATTACATTGGGCATGTCTTTGAGATCATAATAGGAGGTATACCTATCAAGTCGTCTCATGCATTAATAACAACATAATCTTTTAAAATCACAAGTGGACCTCTACAAAAGCAAATTACATCGTGTCGATATGGTCAAGCTGGTCCAGCCCCTTCCGTCACCCACTTTAAGTAGACGTATGCAATGGGATAGGGAAATAATTAGCTTTGTGAGAAAAACTATGAATCTTGGAGCTTAAATAGTTGGCCCATAGCATTAATAATTTCTACAAAATGATAGATATATTGCACGCAAAGCATAAAATAAATCACTTTAATAAAAAGTCAAATAAAATAAGTATATTGAAATACAACTTAATGCACGAGTTTATCTGTTTATTCATTATACCCCCAACAAATTAAGCGTTTAGGAAAGTGACTGATTTGGAACACTTTAGTGCGTCGTGTTGGCGCTAGAGACAACAGGACAAAGCGCCAAACGGCGCGTTGTCGGACTTTCGTCTTAACGTTCTGTCTCTCACGATGTACGCCAAACGACGCGTTGTCGTGCGGCGTGTTGTCGCGATGTCACATTGTCTCCCGGTTCAAATCGAAGGATTGACTTATTTGCCAAGCGACAATGCGCCGCACGAAAACACGCCGTTTGGCGTGATTCGTTAGAGACAGGACGACTGCATAAAACTAAAACCATAATTTATACGCTTGTAATGTTTGACTTCTTTTATCCAACCCCTGTACATGTAGTTTAAACATTTAATGGATGATTGAAACTGTTTATGAGATCAAATTTAGTCAATCGTATTACATTTATTGTCTATAAAATGTTTTAATGTATACTTCATGTGTATAATTTAATGAACTTTGCATTGTTAAGCATATTTGATATTTTGATTAAAAGAACATACTATTTACTTTGTTATATACATGTATACATAGTAATTTAGATAAATGAATTTCGTTTTTTAAAATCATATAAAAAATTATTTGAAAATATGTTTATCGAAAGTAAGAAGCTTTTGATAAGGTGTTCAAATTATCCCCACAGGTGATGATCTGTACCCGGAGACACCAGACTATACAGGTGAACAACCGCCAATGAAAGTAGAGGGAACAGTTTTGAGTCTTCGAAACAAGTATCCAAATATGTATAGATCAGAAATGACATCTGGTCCTAAAGGAATGGAAGAAACAATTATTTGTAACATAAAAATGGCTGATGGTCAAGTTAGTCCTTTGTTTATAGACAGAACAATGGAATATCAATTTAAATCAGTTTCTACTTTGTGAATGAATTTATAAAAGTTGATCAAAATAGCCAATGGGGTGAAAATTGGCCACACCCTCTTCAGCAGAGGGGTCACATAATTACATAGAAATACGAGGGATTTAGTCATAAAATTAAAACGCATTGTTTCAGCTTCATGATTTTATGATATGACAATAAAAAATATACAATGAACAAACTTGCCAAATATTAGCAATATATAATGTTCCGATATATTTCGGAAGGAAGAAACTCTTTATGTCTAAAATAGTAACATAGTTTACACATGGGTGAATTGTTTAAAAATTCATTCACTGCGAAATGTATTATTTTTTGTGTATTTTAGATGTGAAAAAAGAATGGTTTAGTATATATATTTAAAAGGGGAAATCACAATCCTATGCTGTATGCCTAACAGCAATTGTATCCATGCATACATGTATAGTCTGATGCATTGTTGAAAACTTTCAGAATATATATAAAAATCAATTTCTTGAATGCCGTTTCACAGAAAAATCTGTAAAACTTTTATTGGAAAATACTACAACTTTTGTTATTATTGTTTCAAAAACAATTTTGGTCTATTGCAAATATAAACCATCTGTAGCTCTAATTTTATACTCAGGATAAGGTCAATGTCACTGATACTAAAATAGATTCACTCACTCTTGCTCATACAGACTAATGTCTTTCATATTTAAAAGGAACATTAGTGCACTGCTATTTTAAGGGGATATACGGGGTCACAAATGTCAAGGTCACCAGGGCTAAAAAAAATTTACACTTGGTAATATAGCCTTTATTGATGTATTTCATATTAATTGGGTATATACCACATGTTATCATCTAGTTTGGATGGAGTTGAGGGTCACTTGATTCAAGGTGTAGGTTCTCGGGGCTTACACTTGCTTGTATTTTAACCAATCTTTTATATTTTGATACTTTTATAAAATTAAAATATATATTATCATATTATTGCCTAAAATATTGCACAGAAGGGCACCTGAGGTCTTCCTCCACCAGTAAAGCTGGAAAGTCACCACATGACATCTACTGTGCCGGTGCAATGTTAACACAAAAAGTCTTTGAAAACTTCCTAAGTACCCGTAACAGACCCATAGATATATTTGCCACTTCTTTCTTCTTAATGAGTGAAATGAGATTTCATTTGAATATCTTCACTTGAGAACTTTGAAGGAAAGGAGTGAAATACAATTTTGAACAGGAAAGTCAGTTAAAAAATATTCCCCACTATCATTTACATTTCAAACACTTTTCTGGTGTTTTGAAAAGTGTAGTAGTAGATATACATTCCTGCATGCCTGTTTTCTTGTGGTCACTTACATTACCTTGACTTAGCATAGAAAAATACATTTAAATCTTCATGTGGTAGTTCAGAACCTAGATATTTGGCCCTGCCCCAGTGTGTCACAAAGATTATGTATTGTCACCTTATCTAACAAGAACACAAGATGAACAATACAAGGTCAGCATTGCCATCATGTGTATACTGATAGACTTATTTATTAGTCAACATAATTGGTCAGAATATTTACATAATATGAAATGAAATCAGAGCGAATATTGAATATAATGTGTTGATCCACATAGATGTGTATATTTTCTCTGAACTTAAATATAATTGAGGTTTTTCAAGCTAATCAAGGATATAATACAACTTTAACTGTTGAAACTTTGAAAATTAGCCCAACAGGTTGCGAAAATAAGCCAAACAGGTTGCTTTATCTATTGTGAAAAAATAGTACACTGTGATGCTATAAACGGTCTAAGTTTGCTTCAAAATTTGTTTGTATCGGGTGGATTAGCTTGGAAAAAACTCATATTTGTAAACTGCAGGCTCACAACTTTTCCTGAAGTATAATTTTGTCACCTGAAGCCAAATGGCACATTGTCAGATAACTTCTTGAATCATTCAATAAAGGATTTATTTTGTTTGAAAAGTAAGTAGAAATGGTTTCCTGAGATAAATTACACCTTGAATATTTGTTTTTTAAGTTAAGGGAAAAGACATAGGGAACACAAAATTTAAATTTAAAATTTAAAATGAAAACTTATACTTTTATTGAAAGTGTTTTTAAAATGAAAACTTTTATTTAAAGTGTTGAACATTTAAGTAGTGACATTTGCAAAAAACGAATAATTGTAACAGATATTTTTTACATGAGATTATCTATTGTAAACATTATAAATCTTTTGTTGTGTCACAGATTTTTGTGTATGTGTTTTAAAATATACCTAATGTGTATTAAAGTAAGGTGAATGAAAATATACAGAAAAATAAAATTATATGTTTTCATTCAGAGAAAAGTTGGGTTGGCCTACCTATCCTGGTGCCAGTATCTAAATGTTGACACAACTCATCAACTCATGGCTGATTGTGCAACTTCCTTTCTAACAACCCAAAAAGTAACTGTTTTCAAATACACTTATATTTAGATTAAGTGTTTGTCCAGTACTAGTTTTTGAGTAATGTTGTCATATATATTTAGATTAAGTGTTTGTCCAGTACTAGTTTTTAAAGTAAGGTGAATGTAAATATACAGAAAAATAAAATTATATTTTTATTTAGAGTAACGGACCTGCCTTTTTCCGGCCTGTATGTTTATTTAGTATTTTAGGCCGCCGAGGGCAATTTCTAACATTTACATAAATTAGCTTTAAGAAAAATTGTTGCAAGACTGTAACAAAAGTAAAAGAGTGGCGACAGGGCCAACTGGTTAACGCGTCAGACTAGTAATCTAAAGGGTTGCTGACCGCGTGGGTTTAAAGTCTGTCAGGGGCAATCTGTTTTTCCTTGAGCCAGAAAATTTGTATTTATTGCTAAGTACGGGTAGGACCGGATTCGAGAATGTTTCAATAAGCTTATAGTTTCCAACACAATCGAACTAAAATAAAATTGTATACACTAACAAATGTACCGCAGCAAAGTTTGTACAGTTATAAAATTTGTTGCTGAAGCATTTTTGATTTTAGTTTACAGATTTGCAATTAAACTTTTTAAATGGCGAAAGAAGAGCCTTACATAGGAGATGGTCGGTGTAGTAAATAAAGAAAGAAACTTCAATTCAATATACAAATTGGTTTTATTTCTGTTTATTAATACATGTTAATGCTAAATATATCAATAAAAAATATATAGAGAGAACTTTGATATGTTCATTAATTTGAAACATGTTTGAAAGTTTATCAATGATAGATATGATTGACAATTTAAAATTGTAATACAATTTGTACACACATATCTATTTATAAACATAAAACTAGATATTTATATGCATATCCTTCAATGGAAACTTTAAGCGGTAAAAGCAACAAAAAATTATCACTTAAAAAATCATGACACAGAAAATAATGATGTGTATGCCCATACCGATGGCAATGGTGTACTTAATTATGCTGAAAAATTAACCAAAACAATGCTATCATGTATATAACTGACGTGTTATATGACACATGTATTGCTTGAGAATATTCGTACTTAATTACCCTAAAGAATTAATGAAATCAATTTTATCATGTATATAAATTAATGTGTTATAGGAGACTTTATTGTTTGGCATTATTGACCTGAAACTGATTTTTTTTTTAGATTTTTCGATAGTTTCCATAATTTATTATGATTTACCTATTGATGTTTAATCATACAATAGATTTTAATAAGATTCTATTTGATTAGATTGACAAGTCATTTGATTATATTTGGTGTCTTTTTTAAAGTTCATAGCTTTAAAGTATATATGTATCATAATGTTTATGTAATTTTCATAATTTCAATATATAAAGGCACACAATGGATGATTGGCATGCACAGAAAATAATAGGCAAGTTTTGCAAAAGAAAAAAAAAATACATTGACTTTATAAAAATTGTTTCATTAAGATTCTAACCTACTCCTAAGCCTTAACCAATCGTCACTAACGATATATGGCTAAGAAGGCAAGTATTATGTTCGTTAAGTTAAGTTATAGACACAGGATTCAGATAATTATCGATAAAGGGCCAACGAATATTCAAATGTATAAAACAATTTATAAGACATGGATAAAAAGCATAGAATGGTCCGAGCTTTGGAAAAAAACACAACATGTTAGCTTACGAGAAGTGAATAGATCGTATCTGAAACTACAGGACTTGTATTTTAAGGGGAAATAGATTTTAACTTTATCATAAAATACACTGGAAATAATTAATAGAAACATGGGACGACAACATTGTCTAAAGAAAGTTAACAAAATCATGTCTTTCATTTGACTAGTTTAGTTTGTGCAATATATATTTTATCTAGGGAACAATGGTAGACAGATTAAATAGATAGACTAATAATCATGAGAGAGAACGATATAATATTTGTCATGGAAACAAGAGGAATGTTAAAACTGTTAAATTGACATTAGTAGAATGTATATATGAAGTCTGTACAAAACAAAAGAATGTATAAAAATTTTTTAATGTATAATGTAAAACATCAAAAGGAATAACTATGGATATATATATTTAAGACAAGACATACAATTCAGTTTTTTATAAAAGGAGTGTTATTGTTTGAATGTTATCTCCTTCAATTATTATGTACCCCCTATCCTCCTCACTTAATCTGTATTTACTCTGAATCAGTCATCCTGAAGAAAATGAAAACAAAATTAACCAATGTTGACCAATGTAAGAAATGAAGTAAATTCGCAAAATACATTTTTTTCATGATAGATAAATACGTACATGTATGTGTAAGAGTTTATGTTGTTAATTGTCAGAAAGAATACCAACATTATAGTATATTGTATCAACCATTTTGACTGCATGTCCTTAGCTGCATTCATGTACAGAAAACAGACGAATATGCTTTCACAGCTTATTGTATTAATGTTATACATCATTACAGTGATATATCTGGTGATAATAAAAACAAATTTAAGACAGTGTTATTAAAAGAAACGTGTTGATGTTAAAAAAATAACATAGAATAAAAAAAACAGATTCAGGCGGTGAATAGCAAGCACTTAAGTAAGATCCGTATATGTTAAGAAACAGTGTCTCGTGAACGAGGAAGCGTGAAATGCCGATAATTTAAATTTGAATAAGAAATAAGAAAATGAAAAATTACATGCGTAATTATTAAGGCAACAGAAAATTGTCACCGAAATTTAAAAAATACAAAATAACACCAAGTTTCATTGATTTTCTATATTAATACTTTTGTATCAGTATGATATAGGTTTATTTAATGTCATATATTATTATTGGCGTGTGAAAGCGTTTTCTCATATTGTTGACCGGAATTATGATTTTGAAAATTGTCGAGATTGATACTTTTAAACATTCTTAGCTACCTTGATGAGAGTGCTGTCGCTGTCAATCTCAACAGAGTATACATCATCATCTCCGGGATTAACGCCATTATGCAGCTTCCCATTTCTGGCCCAGGCCCAAGCCATTTGTTCTGTTTTGAATGAGTACACCGGCACACCATCCTTGCCAATGCCTATCACCCCGGCAGAGAAATTATTCTCAGCATTTGCAAGTTTTTCACTCATTTCGCTTAAGGCCTCATCTGCTGCGGCTTGTATGGTCATGTTTGCTTTAAGCATTAATGATTCGTTATAAAATTAACATGTTTAGATCGATCCAATGCTCATTATTTTTAATGATTTCTGCATAAATAGTAACTTTAGCGCAGAAGCTGCATTGTATCGGCGTGTACGGAATCCAAGTCTTGTCAAGACAGATATTGTAAAATATGTTACTTATAGAGAGTTATGTGACAAATGTTCTAATGAAACAAATAAATATAGTTTTATATCGTCAAACATCTAGGGCATCACGTCATTTCATATATGGAAGTCAATGATGCATTAAGGTTATAGACGATATATATACTATTTAATGCTGTCTAATTAAAAACATTAATACAAAAATTGGATATTAAAAGTTCAATCAATGAGAAAACAAAATAAAAATCTCACCATATTTCATTTTTGATATGATATCATATGCCAAAGCCACTCTAGTTATTGACTCCCCATGACCGGTGCATGAGATACCTCCGACCTTATTGTCAGCATAACCGCCTATTCCTGTAACACGACGACAAGATGTGTAATTAATTGTTTAATGTAATCTATATGAACTGGGAAATTCCACTACACTGTATTTCAAACATTGAAGCTTCGCATAAGCATCACTTGGTTTTCAGTGTAGAAAAGTATTACCATCACATGTGTCAAAGTCTGGTAAAATCTTTATTATTTGTGATGCACAAATGAAGGAAACAACAATTATTATAATATTAATAATTATAATCAGGCAATTTCCGACTTAATTTCTAGAAAGACTAGTCGTAAAAATTTCTAATGACTTAGTGTTCAGAATTTTTCCTTTTATTAAATTATCATTTATCAAATTATCATTACCAAATTGTGTAAGCTTTAGCCTCTTACAGTTCTAAAATTCACAACGTACATCAATTATCAACCGGTAGAGGAAACTATGAATTAGATTAACAAATACTGACAAGTGGTATCCTCATCAATCAACATTTCCTATAGTATGTTTGATCCTCCGTAACAGTTTCAATGAAATTATGTAATATGCAAGACGATATTTTCGTAAATCAGTTCCATTTTAATAACCAAGTAATTTAAGTATATACTTTAATTACCAAGTAATTGAAGTTTATGCAATATAGACTTTTTAACTGAAAACATACGAACATACCAGCTAAAGGGCTATCCCCGACTCTGCCAGGCCTCTTGTTTGTTATACCACCTGTTGACGTTCCAAATGCGATGTTACCATCCTTGTCAATAGCTACAGCCCCAACAGTATCATGGTCCCTATAAAGAGATATAGTTTATAACATTATTGTTTATATATATAATTCAGCTTCGTATTTTGAAAGGCTGTCTTACGAAGCTGAATTATTTACATTTCTTTCTGGCTAGAGTTTTAAAGGATAAAGCAGTATAGGATAAATGTGAAGTCCAACATTTTGACGAAAGTTATTTTATGGCTGGTGATAATGATAATTATGTCAGCACACTGTTTTACAACTTACATGTTTTCATCGTTTTTGAGACATGGTAATTTTTGTCATGCCTCCTGTTCTTGTAGAATGTATTTATGAATCATCTTTTCTCTTTTAATAGAAATAACGAATAAAATAGAAGAGGTAACTAAGGACATTTAAATTTTATCTGCTAAAATGCTTTCTAGTACATCAACACTTTACATATCATATGTGACATAACATATTTACCCATTTAAACTAAACAATAGTATATTATATGGTCGCTTCATGTTTATATACACATCTCCTCAAATAGTTTTACGTTCTTTGGAATAAGTGTAAAATTATGAAATTCAAGGTATAACATTTTAAGTAATATTGACAAGAAAGTTTGAATATTTACGTAGAGTTTTATTCAAATCTAAATACATTGTATAACAATGACAGTGACGAATCATTTAATGCATTATAAAAGTTTCATTCAAACCTAAATATGAAAATGAGAGTGATAAATCTTTGAATACATTTATACATTGCCATTCTATCTTGTCTGTTCTTTTCTTGCCTTGCCTTGCCTTCCCTTGTCTCGCCTGTCTGTCTTTATGTCAAGCACGATTATTAGTTTATTACCTTTTTCGCCAAAAACAGCTTGTATTTCATATATAATTCAATCATATCTAAGAATGAAAATACCTTGTGCTAAAATCGTTCATTACAGCTTTCCCGTATGAGCTTTTGAACTCTAACAATTTGTTTCTGTTTTCTTCCGTAATAAGCTTTTCTTTTGAAATTCTAGGCACTCCTTCTTCGTCTGCAAACTGATTTGCCCCTTGTCCTACCAAGAGACAGTGGGGCGTCTGTAAATTAAAAAAACACTTAGTAAATGTTTAACACAGCACTTATGTGGAACGAGTTTGATATTTTGCATAATGGTACACAACATCAGTTTTAAGTCGAAAAGGGGACATTATTCTGTCAAAATACTTGATAGAGTTACCTTCTTTGGTGTACAGGTTGGGAGCATAATTGTGAACATATGTGTAAAGTTTCAAAGCCATATGTCAATAGACTTTGAAAATATTTGAGGTGGTACGCAAACTTTAAGGTTAACTCTAAATCGAAAAAAGCTGCCTAGTTCTTTCAAAATGCACGATAGAATTATTTGCTTCTATGTACACGTTGGAGGCATGATTTTGAACAAGTGTGCAAAGTTTCAAAGCCATATGTCTATGGATTTTGAAAATGTAGAAGGTTGTACGCAATTTTTTTACAAAAATGGTTACGCCAACGCTCAGGATACTAGGATAGCTCTATTTTTTTTTTTAGATCTTTCCACTTTAAAATAGTAATAGACCCCCATAACTATGCATTTGAACAAAAGCATATTTGATTAGCCATGTGATTACATGCATGAGTGAATTAAGGGTACATACATTTTCCATTACCATTCTTGCCAATACAATTGGATTTTTCACGTTTTTCACGGCAGCTACAGCCCCTGACTCCAATGTTCTACCGTCCATTATAACGGCGTCCATCTCAATATCGCCTTCTGATGTTAGAGGTGAGCCAGTACCTTTAAATGCCAAAAATACATCTGTTTATCACATGGTTGAATTTGTACAACCTTCTTCAAAGTTTTAACTGTAATATATATTTACATAAAACAGTGACAAAATAAGTATTTACTTTACTTTTAAGGATAAGGTTCTAATTAGGAACTTTAATTTAAGTTTGTTTTTGTTGTTTGTTTTTTGTTGTTGTTGTCGTCGTTTTTGTTGTTGTTGTTTGGTTGTTGTTGTTGTGTTTTTGTTGTTGTTGTTGTTGTTGTGGATTTTCTAGTTTTACACATTATTTATTCATATCACAGCGGTTCTATATTTCAGCGTTCGAGCCACCAATTAGGCTTTCCTGGGTAACTATCCCGTCATTGAGTGAGCAAGACAAAATATCATAGAGAAATGTGGCCTCATGATTGAACTAGCGAGCTGTATGACTTAAGCGGATGACAAAGTATTTATGTGAAAACAAGCAAACGTACTACCGGTTTATAGGTCAATACTATACCTGGTTTTCTTTTATACAAACCAAAAGCATATTTTAATTTTAACTAATTAGACAAATTATAATAACTTAATGTTTTAGGGATTCTTTTAATCTCTCTGTTTTATAATATCTATCTGTACATGTATTCCCGAATTGCCCGTGCTGTTTCAAATGATTATTCTATATATTACATTGATTTGTAACTTGCTTACCAAGACGAAACCAAAAAGAAATTAGAAGAATCACTAATAAGATCAAGAGCAAAATGGATTCTACAAGCTGAAAAACCTACTCAATATTTTATGTAACTTAGATAATAGAAATTTTACATTAAAACTGATGAATTCAATATATTCTAAGTCTGGTGAATTGTTACAAAACCAAGATGAAATTTTGAGAGAAACTGAAAATTATTATAAAAACTAATATGCTTATAAAGAGACTGAAGATATAGATCTTGAAAATATCATTCACCCTAATTTCAAAATAAAATTATCAAAAAATGAAAAATTATCCCTGGCAGAAAATTTGAATCTTATGAATTATTATTAAGTTTATAAAAATGTAAAATTATTCAGCACCAGGCAATTCTGGGTTTACTGCCGCCTTTTATAAAGTATTTTAGTCAAAATTTGGTCAATTTTTAACCCGTTCAATAAATGCAACTTTTACAAAAGGTGAATTATCAATCACCCAGAAACAAGGTGTGATCATCTGTATTCCAAAAAGTAATAAAGATAAACAAATTAATATCAATAAATTGGAGACCTATATCACTTTTAAATGTTTCATATAAAATGGCTTCTGCTGCAATTGCTAACAAAATAAAACCTATTTTAAGTTTTTTTTAATAAGTGAAGATCAAACAGAATTATTCCAGGTCGGTTCCTTGGGGAAAATATCAGATTAATTTATGATTTAATGAATTTTACTGAACAAAATGGGCGTCCAGCAATGTTTTTACTTATTGATTTTGCCACTGCTTTTGATTTTGCCACTGATTTTGGTTTTATTTCATTGCAATTTATGTCAAAGGTTTTAGAGTTTTTTTAATTTTGATGAAGACATTAAGTCTTGGATAAAAAATTTCTACAATAACATTCAGTCTTGTGTCACTGTAAATGGCCATTTGTCTGAATGGTTCTTCATTCATAGAGGCTGTAGACAAGGTGATCCCCTGATTTTATGAATGAAAATGGCAGATGTTCACTCTACAGGAATTTCAAAACAAATATTTCTTTACCACAAACTTTTTACACTATAATAATATCATACACTCTTTTAGACCATATTTAGATTCCTTAAGAACTTCCCATAATTCAATAAAAGAAGTAAATCCATTACAACCTTTATTTATTAAGATGATGAATATATCAGAAAGGGGTTGCAGAATATTATATGATACACTTGTATATAAATCCACTTATATTGTTTCTAAATCAAAATGGTTAAGAGATCTTAACACTGAATAAATGTAAACAAGTTGCCATTTAAAATTTTATATGTAACTAAATTACAATGGTTTCAATATAGGATTAATCACAGAATATTAGGCACTAATCAACTTTTGCTTACGACAAGATGACCTGTGTACATTTTGTCACACAGCTATTGAAACATATTCCCAACCTGTTTTTTAATGTAATTTTGTTCAGATATTTTAGCAAAATTTAAAGACATGGCTGAACCAATCCTCCCCTGCGGTAAATGTTAATTGGTCTAAACTTGATATTATTCTTGGTAATTTAACAAATAAATCTGTGATAAACCAGTTAATCATACTTGCTAAATACTATATATATCAGAGTAAGATGAAAATGACAGTACTTGATTTTTCAACTTTTAAAAAGCATTTATTTTCCTATTTTAAAACAGAACATTTGGTCGCTGTCTAAACTATTAATCTAAATAAGTTAAATATAATTTGGGTCCGACTAGCATCACTTACACCGACACAGGAAAGGCAGTACAATGTTTACTTTATATATGCTTTTACTTAATATATAACTTAATGCTGTGATTTTTGACTAAATCACTGTTTGCTTGATTTTTTTTGTCTAAATCATGGTTTGCTCCATTTTTTTAATGTTTATTTTCTGTTCAACAAGTTAAAAGTAAAAAACCAACATCCACCTGACACTCTTGAACCTTTATTTTTCCTCTTTTTTCTTCAGTTTTTAACATTCATATGCTTATGTTAGAACTATGCATTTAACATCTTATATTGTTAGAACTTCGCAAGAATAGTATTTGTCTGATTTAGTTCATTTAGATAATTTCAAGATTTAAATAGACATATGTTTTTTCATTTTTTACATATTTCTTTTATATAAACGAATTCAATCTGGAATTACAGGCAAATCATTGTAACAAGGTATATATATACTACAATAATTTTAACAAAGACATAATTCATGACTTTCAGAAGACATATTATTAGGGTTTTTTTCTTTTCCTGTAAATGGATGTGAAATGCCAACTCTCCATTTTTGTATTTTTAGTTTTGTATAAGTTATAGATATATATCCAAAAATCAACTTTTGTTCAATGTCTTTTTATAATGACTAAAGATTTTAAATGATTATGATATATTGTCTGTACATGTGAACTTGTAACAAGCTCTCAGAGCATGTTAAATTATCTATATATTCAGAAAATGTTATATTGAATATTCATGTGAACTTAGACTTGGATTGTAACAATTTCATAACATTGTTTGTTTACAAGAAAATTAATGTTCTTATGATTATATGAACTCAAAAATCCCATTACTACATATCTATATGTAAAATAGAAAAAAGCTGAAATATTTACCCCTATAAATTAATTTCTGAAAATGTCAAATGGCTTGTTTATATGAACTTAGAAAATATTATATTGTATGTCTTTCTGAACTTATTTGAATTTATAAGATATATTTTATGTCTTTGTTAATCTCAAGATTTGTTATAACGCTTGTATGTGAAACCGAAAACAAGTTTAAAAATAGTATACACTGAATTGAAACAATTTTATCATATTTTCTTACGGAGTGTCTCTACGATTCGTCTCGATTAATTGCCCTCAGGGTCTAAGTCAGTGCATGTGACATATTGATAGATTGCTTATGAAGTCGATACTATTTTTACATTGACCAATCGGATGTAAAATCATTCTTGCATAACAAATGCGCACGCAGGAATACATGATGCCACGTGAGTACGCGCCCTCGGGGTCTAAGTCAGTACATGTGACATATTGATAGATTGCTTATGAAGTCGATACTATTTTTGTGTCGCCTCTACGAAGTAGTGGCAACATATAGGGATCACTTCTCCGTCGTATGTCTGTCCGTCACAAAACTTGTCCGGACTACTCCTCATAAACTACTGGTGCAATTTCATCCAAACTTTACAGGAATGATCAATACCAAGTCTTGTTGTGCACTGTCCAACAGGTTTTCCGGTTGAATGATTTTTGGCCGAGTTATGGCCCTTTGATAAAAAGGTGTTTTTTTTTCTGTGTGTTGCCAGATACCCAAAAGCTTGTCCGGACTACTCCTCATAAACTACTGGTGCAATTTCATCCAAACTTTACAGGAATGATCAGTACCAAGTCTAGTTGTGCATATTGTCAGCATTTTTTGGTTTAATGATTTTTGTCAGAGTTATAGCCCTTTAATAATTTTTATTTTTAAAGTTTGTCCTAACTACTTCTCTTATACCACTAATGCAATTTCAATGAAACTTTACAGGATTGATCTATAGCTCAAGTCCTTGCGCATATTGCACGGGTTTTACGGTTGAATGATTTTTGGCCGAGTTATGGCCCTTTGATAAAAAGGTGTTTTTTCTGTGTGTTGCGAGATACATAAAAGCTTGTCCGGACTACACCTCATAAACTACTGGTGCAATTTTATCCAAACTTTACAGGAATGATCAGTACCAAGTCTTGTTGTGCACTGTCCATCTGTCTGTCCGTCTGTCACAAAACTTGTCTCATCATGAAATTGGCCATCATGAGGCGACACATGTGATCACTGATCGCTCTTGTTACATTGACCAATCATTCTTGCATAACAACTGCGCACGCAGGAATACATGATGTCACGTGAGTACGCGCCCTGATTGAAGGGGGTTTTTTTAATATGCACTTATTAAATGCAATCTCCTGCTGCTGCATATGTTAATGAGAAAAGGGTGCGTTATAAACCTTTATTGTAAACAATCTACCGTGAATGGAAAAATTATAACAAGCTTAAACCCATAAAGTTTGGACCTTAAACACTTATTACATCGGTAGAAAATGACACTGAAGACATGGTGAAAAGGAAAATGTTTGACTGAATGGATTTATATTTTATTTCTTTTGGCTGGTTAAAATTATATGGTTACATTGGGTTAATAAAAAAAATATGTTTAATGTTTGGCAATAAAATGACAGGTCATGATTTATTATGTTATAACTCAACAAATTAATAATTTTACTGACAATGTGTATTTCAAATTAACAAAACTATTTAAAGAACTGTTTCAACTTTTCACCTTTTTGTTTTATAACTTTAACAAGCTAAGACATAAATATACAAATACAATGTATATGAAAATGCCATTTTTAATCTCTATAGCTAACATTTTGCATTCAGTCTGTTCATGGATGTTACTATCGTCCATACTTAGCAGAATTTAAAATTTAAGCATTTAAAAATTGTGAAATTTTGAATTTAGAATCATCTGCAATCATTTATTGCGTTATTAATTACAATAAATCAGCCTTTCACTATATTATGTTATAGAATTATCTTTAAAAAGGAGAAGCAACAGATGAAATAGAGAAACGTCAAATCTTCAAGAAGTGCCCAAACCAGCAAGGTTTTAAAACATGGTTCAGGGGCCTGCTGGTGAATGGTAGTGGTAAATGAAAGCTACCGTCCACGGGCCATAACACCGACTTAGGCAGATCTCAATATTAAACACAGAATCGTAAAGTAAAATGACGATTTAAGAAACATCCATAGATGAGTTCGTATGATGGTTACCAGAAACAATCAATGTGACACGTTCGTGCCATTCCATTGTCCTCAAGTAAAACAACGAATTTACTCTAAAGCAGAAAACAATTGGGGAAACTTAATATATTTGAATTTTTAAAACGGGATCAAAGGCTAGTTTTCCTTTCTATGTCACTGACGTTTTCTTAGCGACTTGATTTTCAAAAAGACTAAACCAAACTATGTGATATATTAATCTGTGTCCTAAATAATGCCATTTGTATAAGTTTGTGTGAATGGTTTATTTAAAAAAAACATATCTGTAACACACTGACCTTTCTTTGTCTCCAAATGCAAAAAAATACATATTACTAGTACTTTTTTTAAAAACAGAATCAAGCACCAAATTATTTCTAACGAATTTGAACATTTCTTAACCCTTTCACTGACATAAGGACGGCATATGCCGTCCCTATTATTTTCGGCGTATTTGCCATATGGACGGCTTTTGCCGTTACTATAATAATAATAATAATAATAATAATAATAATAATAATGATAATAAATATATAGATAATTATACCATCGACAATAATTATTATATACTAGCAGATTTGGAAACATATATAATTATTATAATACTAATTACAAATAATTATAATTATATTAATTAACAATATAGTAATTTCTTAGAAAACCTTCTGGCAAATAGATGATCGATAAATAAATAACCCTCTGGCAGGGTTAATTGTAAGATATCTAAGAAATGAATATAAAGATGCGTACCTGCATCAAATGTCGGGTCATTTTCTAGCTCACATATAGCAGCCTGCACTGCGTCTATAGCTGACCTCCCTTGAATCAGAATACGATACCCCCTGGAGGCAGCATTTTTTGTGCCTTCTAATGCCCTCCCTACTTTCTCGCCAGAAAACTTCACTGCTCCGCCATGAACAATTATTGCAGGTTCCATTTGTAATATTTATATTTTTTACTTGTCCTGAAGTTGAAAAAAAAGAAAATTTATGTCGAATTCGATAGTTTTCTATAATAAACTATTATCATTCATTTAAGTAATTTAAAATTTGACCGATAAAAATAAATATCAGAGCCGAGGTTGATTCTGCAATCTCGTACTCTTATTTCAATTTTTCTTCTAATGTGCTTAAAAGCGGGTTATCAATTAACAATGATTAAGTGACGGACTCTGATTTAATGTGATACTACAGGAAAAGGGTTTATCAAAATAAGAGAATATCAATTGCGCTTCTTAACATGTAGAATACTTTTCATGTAATGGCAATAATTGCTTTGTATTAATTGTTTGGACTATGTCTTTTGGATCAGGTTTTCCGAAATGCAAAAGAACTTGTCAGAAGATATTGTCTTATGCCAAAAGGTTAGACATTTATTGATTTTTTGTGATATTAAATATTAAATATTAATTCAAATGGTGAAACAAAAACAATTGATATTTGCGCAAAAATGTTTATTTCCAAGCTATCTGTGTATATTACTGTGTTATTTCAAATGCTTAGTGGATATTGAAATTACTTTGTTTCAGATTAGAGCTGCTTCATATTTGTATAGCTTGAAGTGACTAATGAATAATAAAATTACTTTCGGTTTAGCAAGTCATTGAAATAGTGTGATAGATTTCGATTTCATGCAAAAAAAACTTGACATGTCGATGCATTGTATATAATGCATTGGTCAGGTTTATCAAATACACTTAATATTGAAAAATATTTCAAAAGAAACTTCGGTCATGAGAATATTATGACATGGTTTCAATGTCAAAATAAAACAATTGATTTATTAATTTTCTTACAAGAAAACAGAAACTTAGATCGTAATTTAAATTTATTTTCAAAATATCACAATATCGTATTTTTGGTTATTTTCAGTGTAAAATATTTTTACAACATGTTATTTACAAATTTGTCATGGAAACATTGATGTTGTTTATGTATATCATTAATTTGCCTATCTTTTGATTATAAGGGTTTTAAAATACGACTGCTCCGTATACCACTAGTGCAGTGATAGTACAAGCATATTGCAATTGAATAATTGTTGCTATTCCTTTTTTTAATATCGGACCTTCCAGAAAGAAAATTATTTTTCATGAAATAAATTGGTCTACTAATTTTCAATCAATTTCCGTAACTTTTTATGTTTCAACAAAAAATCCAATTCCGTTGGCTCTTTAATGCAGTATACCTCCAGATTCATGCTAATTTTCATGAATTTATTTAAATGTATTTAAAAGTAAAAAATTGTGAATTGATTTAAACAAACGTTAGTCAGACAGTAGAAATACTACAAATAAAGTCATTAATTGCAAATAACTTGTAGGCAGTGGTATATTTATTAACATCTCATCATTGTATATACATGATAAAAACATACATATATATCTTTTAAAACAAAATATATAGATGCATTGCCATTCCATATGGAATTATAAGAGAAATTGCATTAAAATCGAACAGTTTATGTAAACTAAACATGGTGATAAAATACTGTACAAGAAAGAAATAATACAATTATTTCTAGTAAAACGTATATCAAAATAAAATAAAAAAGGGCACGAATAATAACTTCGGATCACATGCATTTAAGAAGTTTCTGAAGAATAATTTATAAGATAATTAAAGGATGTGCTTAAACATTCCACATCTGTTGCAATTTTTTATTTACAAAGTTTAAAACTACGTCTATCTAAAATATTTTTGCAGGTTTTGGCAAGATATCTTATTATTTTTTATCTTGATTGGAAAACAAGTACGTATATTTATCAAAATCTTGAATTCAGAGAACAAACTATCATGCTCTTTTGCTCTTGAGTACAAATCTACTCTTAAATCATCATAAACCCTACAATTAAACACATAATGTACTTCATTTTCAACGGAAGTATCGTTACAAAATGGACAAATTATATCTTCTATGCCCACACCCTCAAAACGGCCGGTCTCCATACTCCTAATCTAAATTTACAAAAGACTGACTGATGAGCAGGTGGCAATCTCATTTTACAACATTAATCATTTTTATATTCAAACTTTATAGTTTTATATAATCGCAACTTATTACGACAGTGCACATACAAGCCAGTGTCATTGTATAAGCTAGTTTGCCATTCATCAATATAATTATTTAAGGACACAGACTTAGTAACTTTTACAAACGTTCTAGGAATGGGATTGTGTAACGATAACTATACATTCAAATTATGTTTTATTTAAAGTGCATGTCAATCATTATTTGAATGTTGAATCTTTTTACTTTCCTGAAAATCTTTTAAAAAACGCACGGCTTAAAATACTAAAAACAAAACAATTGTCTTATGCCATAAACGCAACAATTATTCTTAAGACTATGCTAGCATTAAAAAAAGTTTTTTGAAACACATGTTCTTAATATTTAGACCGAATGAAACTTTGCTTTAAATATAAATGACTATATCGCCAATTACAGAAAATCATATACATTTGTATTTTCAAATCTACAAGAATAATGACAAACTCGTTTTAATGATGCGAGCATAATCTTAAAACAACCATGATTAAGTATTAATACACGTAATATGACTCCTAGTTGACTTTAGCTTGTGTGTGTGCGTGCGTGCGTGCGTGCGTGTGTGTGTGTGCCAACCAGTATTAAAATAGAGAAAGCAAGAATCCCTAAAGAAAGTCCAACACAACATAATTGAAAATGTTGCAGGCTAGGTTTGATTGAGCCTGTTCATGGACGGTACTGTAAAGTGCAAACTACTGTCCACGCCCCCTAGCACCAGCTTAAGCAGAATTCAACATTTAAAATGAACTGGTAAAATTTTAAATTTTGAAACATCCGCAGATGTGTTCATATGGCGGTTATCATGGAACATTCAATGTGACACAAAGTGCCATTCCATGAAAAGCGGCATATGGTCCCCAAGTAAAAAAATGCGTGTGCCCTAAACGAGAAAACAATGGGCGAAACTAAATAAAATGGAATTTTGAAAGGGGGTCAGAGGTTATGAAGCCTGCATATCACAGATAATACGTCAAAAGACAAATTTAAAAAGCAGGCTGCATATCCTAAGGGTGATTCAACAGTATTCAGGTGAGGAATACTGGAACCACCCAACAAGAAAAAAGCCAAATAGAAAGAACTAAATTACCACAAGCAACACAATTATGTCATGCTGAACGATCTTTAAGGATCGGAAATATAACATCTCTGACTGAATGTACGGGGCGACTTTTTACAGCCATGAATGTATTAAGTTTCTTGCTCAAGGAAAAAACGGCTTTGCCCCTGACGTGTTTGAACACACACACGGCCATCAAATCCTTAGATTACTTTTCCGATGTGTGCACCACTAGGCTACGCCGCTACTTATATGAATGGCGATATTGGAAACAATGGATAGTGACTTAATTAATAAATTAATCAATCAATCAATAAAAAGATAAATTGATAAATTAAATAATTAAATAAAACTGATAATATTGATAATAATTAAATAAAAACAACAAAATTGATAATTTTAATCATTGCACAATTCTATCCTGTCATTGAAAATTTCAATGGGATTTTCTTTTCTGTAACACAAATATTTATTGAAAAAAGAAAAATTAATTGTGTAGGTACTTTAAAAAGAATTTACATGTAACTCCCTCCAAAAACGCTCCTTTTTAAGCAAATCTCAGTTACTCCTGCGTTCTTTTTTAAAGAATGCACACTTTGAGTAGAGCATGGTTGAGTAGTACTAATTTAAATATGAATGAGAAATAGGAAATAAAATAAAGTGATGCTTTCGATTAATAATAACAATAAAACAATAGTTACTTATAATAACTTACAACTAATAATTCCTAATATACATAAATGATAAACTTGAACGGAAATTTTGATGAATAATTATTTTAGAAATTTAAATTTATGTAAAGAATCGTCTAATATAATAGTCTAAAATAAAAAGATACTCACCCTAAATGCGTGTGTCGCTCACTGTTGTTCAGTGGAAGAAATGCGCATTATTTATATTACTAAAGTGCAACGGAAGCCTCATTTTGAAACCGTCAACAATTATTTTTAGTACCAACGTTATAAGCGCTTTATTTTTAGAAACAACTCATTTGTTATGTTGCACGAAAATACTTGGAATAAAGAATTATCTAAATAATGAAATCAAACTATTATTTTGCTTATTCACGGCATTACAATAATGAACAACAACTAGGGCTAAAGTTCAGCTTTTTCTTTAACCTTGAAAATTTGACCTTTTAGTCCTGTTAAGCCACCGAAAGGCTTATATATATTTTATCTGAAAAAATTTGCCCATTGACTTTCTTTTGCTTCTTTTCAAATTGGCAATTGATTTAATTAAGGATGTGAAAATAACTGCTTTGTTTACATTTTACTACCTAGCTACTGCACGTCCATTTCCTTAACATCTATCTTTTAAATCTATTATTAAATTAAAACATTTTAACACAGGTTTCATATTTCTACAGTTTTTTTCCCAAAAAAATTAACGATTTCTGAGGTATAGTGTGCTTTTAATAAAACTGAGGGAAAATATTTGTATATGTATTAGCTTTAGAGCCAAATATATATTTATTCCAGCTGCCTAGACAATAAGAAAACCGAAAATGAAAGTAAAGTGAGACGCAGAAATAAAAAATAATGCTGTCAGTATTTGAGAATTATTTTCAAGAAGGCCTTCATTTTTGCTTTTTTACGTAAATAAGTGTATCAAAACAAAATTCGTAAAGTACATCACAAGTTAACTGCGGGCAGTAATTTTAAGCGATATTCCGACGTTCCCATGTTGAAATTGTAATCAATTGACAAACATTAAGGTCATATAGGTAGCCTAAAATTGACAAATGTACCGCTTCGCGCAGACATGCACCGTTTGACAATCCCAATCTGATAAATATAACGCAATATTTCAAATGACTTTTTTTGCGGTCGTTGATTTAATAAACATCATCGTCAGTAAAGTTAATAGTAATGCTTGTTCAAACAATTTTCAAATGCCAAATAAGTTATCTCAAAATAAAATAAAAAAACATAGTTTGACCAAATAAATTGTGTCATTCCTTCAGGCGGAACATCATATTATGCCCCTCTTACCTCGCTGTGGACCTTTTTTTTAAATAAAAGATTTTACTGACCATATTATGACACGTCATCAGCTATAACTTTTAATAATGTTGAGTTTTACAGCAACATATTCAATCAGTAGCACATAAAATGACCAAAACAGTCAACATGTGTCGGCCATTTTAAAACAGTACATCGCCTTTTATCTCGGTGTTACATTCTCTTTTTCATGTATAGTTAAAAAGTACTATATGTTTAAGGCTTCAGATAAAAACATTATTAAACTATATCTAATTTCCGAAAACAAAAATATTTGTTTTCTACAAACAAGAACAATTTGAAACAGATGATTGTTTCAGACACACACTACTTTTATGGACTCAGCATTTCTAGTAGAAATTAGCAATATTTGACCAATGTAAACATCGAACACATGACGTATGAGCGTCCGTGGCCGAATGGTTAAGGTCGTTAACTTCAAACCACATGTCCCTCACAGCTGTGAGTTCGAATTCAAACTGGAAATTTGGATTCTTTCATGTGAGGAAACTATCAAGCTAGCTTACGAAACGTCGATGGGGCTACTCAGGTGCCCGTTCGTGCCTGAAACAACGAGTTTACAGTATTTCTATTTATATCGAAGAAATAAGAACATTCATTTTTTCAGAGAAATCTGCTCAGACAGAGTACAATCAAATTAATTATAAAATGAAATGAGTCTTGTTTTCTGAGAAAAGATGATGAAATGTGACGTGTCGGTAAAACTGAAAGTACATTGACGTGTAATTTATTTTGTCCCGGGAACGATTAAGTAGTGTGAAATTCTCTATATTCACTTTATATCAGCATTGCCTTCGGAAGGAGCGAGATGTCTACAGGTAAACTTTTTCATTTAACAATGTTTTAAATATTATGCTTTAATCTTAATCATCATTTCAAAGATTAAAAAAAAATATTTGTCTTTTGAAAGCTTAAGTTGTTTATAAGAAAGAAATACATTTTGTCTTGATTTTATTTGTAACATGAAACTCTAAATTCTGCATTTAAGTAATACGTGTATGTGAATTTGATTAAATATTTTCAAACATATGTTGTTGATTCAGGTCAGTTAAAGGTATTGCGCAGTAAAGAGTAAAGTAAAATGTGTTAATGATCTAGTAAAAAAAAATAAAAAAAATTATTTGGTTAAAATTAAAAATTATAATGGTTTCAATCATTTTGTCCAGAAAAAATGTTCCATTTTTTAAAATTCTTTGACACATATAAAAAATTAATCGTCACCAAATTGTCATTTTGTTGTAATTATCCCGTTTAATATGCGTATCGTAAAGATTCAATGTATTGCACATCTGTTCGTCTTATTTTTAAGTGTCAAACTTTATTTGTCATTCATTGGAAACACAGGTGCTCGTCCAGTCTTGGTGCCCACACACAAAAAAATTTGAAGTTAAAAAAAAAAAAAAAAAAAAAAAAAAAAACATCAAAAAAAAAAACTAAAAAATTTGTAAAAATTTTTTTTCCTATATATCATATACCTACATTTAAACTCGGGCACACCAATTGTTAAAATTTTGCAAAACAACAGTGATTGTCGGCCATTTTGTCGAAAACGAAAGTACAAAACATACACCGTACTGTTTCGCTGTTCTGGTCCCCTACGAACAATAGACACCGTTGTCGTCTGTTCTGCACACGTAGTCGTAGGAAACCAGGAGAGCGGTACAGTACGATGTAGGTTTTGTACTTTCGTTTTCGACAAAATGGCCGACCATCAACGGAATTTTGCAAGATTTTAACAAATTGGAGTGTCCGAGTTTAAATGTAAGTTATTTAAGATTGTATGTAATGTAGAAGAAGAATGTTAACAATTTTCTAAAATGTAAACGTTGCGTAGCTTTACTAGACAACCACAATGTCGAGTTCTGTAACAACACAAGCTATTTTGCTACTCTTTACACATCATGCATTTAGAAAATTGTTAACATTTTTATGTTTGTATGCTAGTCAAGTAAAAGTATTCTCTAAATTCATATACAGATCTATACACGTCAGAAAGTTTCGGTTCCGACGAGAGCGGCGATGGCAGTGTCGACCGGCCGTATAAAACAGTGTTACAAGTAAGTTAAACATTTTCTTTCTTATTTTTATGCTCCCACAAAGTGGGGAGCATATAGCATTGCACTTGTCCGTCCGCCCGTACGTCTGTCAGTCCGTACGTTTGTCCGTACGTCCCGAAATCTTGAGAACGCAACTCCTCTTAAACCAGATGGCAGATGTGTAGATGGTAGTAAAGGAAGGAATTTTTGCTGCGACCAAATTTAACAGAATTATGGCCCTTTGTTGAATTTTTCACTATATACCATATAGAAATTTTGTGAACGCAACTCCTCTTAAACCGGATGGCAGATTTTGCTTAAACTTCCAGTGATGAACAACCTTAATGTGTAAATGGTAGTAAAGGAAGGAATTTTTGCTGCGACCAAATTTTACAGAATTATGGCCCTTTGTTGATTTTTTCATTATATCCCATATAGAAATTTTGTGAAGGCAACTCCTCTTAAACCAGATGGCAGATTTTGCTTAAACTTCCAGGGATGAACAACCTTAATGTGTAGATGGAAGTAAAGGAAGGAATGTTTGCTGCGACCAAGTTTAACAGAATTATGGCCCTTTGTTGATTTTTTTCACTATTTACCATATATATGTTGTCAGTGGGGGCATCCGTGTCCTTTGGACACAGTTCTAGTTCAAGTTGACATTTTGTTAGTCCTCTTCTTTTTTATTGCACGAGTTGAATAAAATTATATTATGCGAGCCGCTGTATAATTGCAGTTGCGTAGCAAGCAAGGGGGTTCGTAACCATTTTTCTTTGATAATGAAATTAAATATAAAGGTTACTTTTTCGTTTTTCGTGAAATATGGTATATATTTTCACATAACATGATAAAATGCCACATATTTTCACCCGCCGTCCCGGCTCGAGAAAATATGTGGCATTTTATCATGATTCGTAAAAATATATTCCATATTTCACTCAAACGAAAAAAATATCCTCTTAGTATTTTTTCTATTTCTTTATAGTATTACATTCTATAAATTGTTGTCCTACTAATCGAATGAATTAATAGACAATTTACAGTTTGGCATGATATTTATAGGCTATGAAGTTTGCAGGGAAAGAACCATTTCCAACCATCTACGTGGACGGAAAAGAAAAGGGAGAAGTAAGTATGTTATGAAAAGTTGATTCCCATTTATTTATTTATCTATTTAATTATGTCATTTTTTATTTAATTTAATTTAATTTAATTTAATTTAATTTTAATTTTATTTTATTTTATTTTATTTTATTTTATTTTATTTTATTTTATTTTATTTTATTTTATTTATTTATTTATTTATTTATTTTTATCACATATATGTAAGATGGATTTTATTACACAAAACATTAACAGTTGATTGTTTTTTATTTTACGTTCTTTCACCCTTTTATTGCAAATTTAAGTAAACAAATGAAATGATAGTGTGTTATAATTACAATGTACATATATTATTATGTTTATGAATTGTATTCAACTATGCTATTTATGTGCAAATTTTGTGATAAATTTTAGCATTTCTAAAGCAGATGGATAGCGTATGATGTGTAAACAAAATTCCAAAATATCTTTGAATTTATGTTGACGGTATAATTATACTAAAATAGTTCTCGACAAAAATGTTTGACAACTTATAATCGTATGAACATATATTTAACAATTCAAATTCAATTGAAAATATTTTTGTTCTATAATCTAAAGATTTAAATGATCGAAAGAATATGTTTTTTTTTCATTTAACCATATTTACAGTATATGTTTTTTTACCAAATATATAAATAATTGATTTTTAAAACGTTTTTTTGAAATTCCATGTAATTGTCAGATTTGTTTGTTGTGTATTAAAAGTTCGTGAAAATGAAATAAAACTGAAATGTTAAATGCCCTTTTAAAAAGAAACGAAATCTAAGAAGTAAAATGGTGACGGTAGAAATTAAAAAAAAAAACTCAAATATGATAGTTGAAATTATAGCATCTGAAAATGAAAAAAAAACATCAACAACACGAGTGAAATATCAAATTCTTTATAGTATTATGTCATAAAATTTAAATATGTTTTAACTAGAAATATGAAGCAGCAGCCAAGTCACAGATAAAGAAGTGGCAAAAAATCTGGCTTAGGGAGAGCAATAAACAAGTTGACAACCAGGAAAGAGAGGTAAATTTTCCAGTCCATTAATTTACAATAAAATATAATCACATAACATATACTTTATGTAATACTGTTGTGATTAATGCTTCCAAGGGATCACTTTGTTTCCAGATTTTTATCTGTTATCTGTCAAGTGCTGTGTAGCAGTTGTAAAAAATTGTCCCGTAATTCACTTCAGTGTTGTTATATTTTTCTGGTCCTGGGATCATTGGTGTTAGCACTATAAAGTGTTGAGAACTGAGTACCGCTCAAGCCGGAGCTAGGGGGCGTGAGGGATGTTGCACTTATTCATTATCCCTGATGTACAGACACAATCAAAGTCTGAGTCTGAAATTTTCATGTTATTCTGTTGTGATTAATGCTTCCGAGTGATCACTTTGTTTCCAGGTTTTTATTTGGCATAAAATGACAATGCACATTTATAGCCAATCCAATTAACAGTCATGTAATGGGAAAAAAAACATTTTAATAGACATAAAAAGTTGAAATGTTTTTCAGATATAGTTCTTTGTGCTTCAAAACTTGAATAAATTGCAGATACTTACTGTTGTTCATTTTTTCTTTAAATTAAAAATACAAATTTTTGACAAATTGCTCGGCATGTACGTCTTTGTTGAATACATTATATTTTCAAATTCATAAATTGACCAGGGACAATAGTATGATTTAAAAGTGACATTATGCCCATCATCGGTATATGGTGAGTGAACATGTGAATATTTAAATAAGTTTTCGTTTTGCAATTATTCATTTTGATTTAATATTTGACTTCGCAAAACAATAAATAATGCACAGATACTAAGTAATTCTCTGTAAATATCCATTAGAATTTATTTTTATAAAAAGAGTGGGGCAGTCTTTTTATATTTAAGACAGATTTATAATTTTATCCTAAACATTTTCAAATATCATCTGTTGGTCAAACACCATTCTAACAGTCAATCTTTTTTTTAAATATAAAGTCAATTCAGCTCAACTTGACTATGAAAATATGAGCATAATGTAACTTTAAGTATTTGCGACGTAGACTATAGTATTTTAGGCAAAATAGCAAAAAGTGAAATTCATTTTCTACCACTTTTAAATTTCAATTCGCACAGAGTCTGTTTTCTCTTTCTACGTTTCGTATCGTCCCGTTGCTATTGCTACATTTTGTAAGTGAACGTAACTTTATTAAGATATTTTTCAGTTTCGAATGAGCGTTTAAAGATACTGTATGACGACAACCTACTAGGGTTTCTAGTACTGGTATACCATTCTTACTTGTAAATGTCCAGTATTTTGTTTTAAATTTGCTGAAAATTGATTGTTATATCTTCTTGGTTTATCCATATGTTTGTCATTTTTATTCAATTTAAAATATGTTCAGTTTTACATGCCCAGTTGTTTCAACCATTAGTAAGACCATTTTCTGCATCGAGACATTATACAAACGTTTAAGTCATTTTGTAAACGAAGTAAATTTGTCCAAATAATAAGAATGCTTTCGTTTGTATCAATACTTCAGGTTCCAAATATGATTATTAAATGAACTCCGTTCATGTTGTTTTTTCATCAAATAAAGATATTTCATGAAAAATGTTATATTTTTTACATTTGCCATTTTTAAAGAAGTACTCAGCATTCTATTGCTAACTCCATTTTTTTATAAGAAGTTGCTATTTTTCCGTTATTTTATTGATAAATGTATAAAACGAAGAATTGCTAAGTTTTTGCAAAGTTTATACTAAGGTCATTTTTTAATTAATCGCATAAATCTCAATAAAACATTTCAGTAAAAATTGTGCATGATTATATGTTGTAAGGGCCATTTGTTTAGCTTGTCTAAATGTGACAAACTGAAATTGAGACTAGAGTAGATATGATAACTGCATACCATTGTGAATAGAATAAATAATGTATTTAACCAATAGTATCGATTTAATGAGACATGAAATTAATGACTTAAAGATATAGTAAGAGTTATAATGAACAAATTAAGCATTGATCTTTATGTGACAAATAGAGTTATGTTAAAAATGCATGTAACATGCACAAATTGTTGGTGTCTTTGGATAAATAGCTTCAATGTTATGCGTGTTCTTTTTTTTTTTTTTTGGATTTGAGGGTGCTCGAAAGGGAGGAATGTTTATTTGCTGCCTGTTGTTAGTTTGTCTTACCTTTTTCACAGGCTGATGCGCAACGCAGAGAGAAGAATCTAGAAGAATCTAGGAAGATAACTATCTCTAATGATAAAAGCCTGCCAGTCCCAAAGCAGGTAAATGATAAGTGTGATTTAATAATGATGAGTGTGCCGGTGGTCCTGTGTTGATGTGTCGTGTTGGTGTTGCGTTCATTGAATGCCGCCCTTCCCTGTTGATCTTGTTTATTATATTCTATGAATTTAATTTCCATCAGTATTTCACATTGATAAAAAAGTTACCTTAAATTTATCGATTGCTTAAAGTGAACTGATCACTTATGAAAAGTTGATATACCATAAATAATTATGTTGATAGCGTTAAGTATCACACGTGACAGCACGTGACGACAATCTTTGAAAGAGTTATTCATGGATTTTGTTTGTAAGTGTTAATATACTAGATCGGATATAACATATTTGAGGCGCGTCACGACAAAACCAACATAGTTCGTTTGCGACCAGCATGGATCCAGACCAGCCTGCGCATCCGCGTAGTCTGATCAGGATCCATGCTGTTCACAATCAGTTTCTCTACTTGTAATAGAGTTGGTAATCAAACAGCATGGATCCTGATCAGACTGCGCGGATGCGCAGACTGGTCTGGATCCATGCTGGTCGCAAACCCATTATGTTGGTTTTGTCGTGACGCGGCTCATTTGTATTTAATGGATAATAGTGTGTCATATACACAATAATATTATTCATTATATAAATGCTCATACTTAATCACTTAGAAGTAGATCAATCTTTTATTCAAAATACCGGTATACATTAATTTTTGTATTTTGTAAGAATATTCAAATGATACATTTCTATTGTTTTTATCAACAGTTTAAATATTTATTGAAACTGGGCCCATTGTAGATTAATCCTCTTTATAAATGCGCATATTGAATTTGTTTGCAATATTAGAAATGAATTATACTTGTTTTGATAGAATAATCGGTTTATCGAAACCACACTTTGTTACAAAAAATTAGGCGCAGGGACTCTTGACTTTGTTCGGTTTATGCCTTTTATGGTGAGGAAACGAATATTCAAAGTAAACTATCTGAGCCACTCAGCCAATCTACCGACAGTTCCGTCGGCAAAGGTTGTACATGAAAAATATATGAAATTAAATATGTATCTTTAAATACGTATTGTATTAAATTCTCACAGATTAAAGTCCGAGAGTCCACAGACAGCCGTGATATTCGTGTGAAAATCTATGGCTGGGTTCACCGTCTTCGACGACAGGGAAAGACGCTTATGTTTGTAGTGATACGAGATGGCACGGGCTTTTTGCAATGTATTTTTACAGATCTTCTGGTACATGAATACATCTTTAGTATAATTAATGATTTCGTGTTTATGGCACTTAGGATCAATGTTAGAATAAGCATACATATTTAAAGATTTCCTCGTAACTTGCGCTCAAACAATGGCTTGAAATGGAATAAAGTTAATAATGTCGTAATCTTTTTTATGAAATTCAAAGTACATTTAACCCTTACATTGATATAGTTTGGTTTGCAAATCTTATTGTTTCTTATCAGTTCCCGTTTGATTATTTATATTATTTATATGTCGACTTGAAAAACGTCCCCAGATGCTTCATCTGAAAGACAAAGACATCAAGGGTTAATTAAGCATGATTTCATATTTCATATATTACACAGGATCTCTCTCCTTTTGTTGTTACAACTTTAGATTTAAAGCTGTTGCTTTCAGTATGCTTTGAAACCATGTAACACAAACAAAAAATATCTTTCCCAAAAGAAAGTAATGTAAATTACAGAACAATGAATAAGACATGTTTAAGATGAACAATAGTAGTAACTATAAATAAACATTGAAATAATAATAGTGAATGAGTCATTACTTTTCTGATAAAACATAATTTATGTATCCTTTATTTAGTGTCAAACTTATGATGCCTTGACATTAGCTACAGAAGCTGCTATATGTGTATATGGGGTTATCAAAAAGTTACCAGAAGGAAAGAAGGTAATTTAAAACATTGGTAATGTATAGCCTTGACATAATGATTTTGATAATCTGTATAGTAAATGACAAGAAATATAATGACGAAATACAACACATGCACTGGAGAAATAAGGAAATGCCTCCTGTAATAAACCAGTTGCGACTCTTAAGTAATACCTAAACCCATGAATTTTCGGTTTCAAAATGTGAAGGTGACAAAATGAGACGATTGATATTTTTCTGTACATATTTTCTGATTAGGATAATCTAGTAGAAATGGTCATTGTGTAAATGATTTGTAATTTTTTTTTAAGTTCGTGTACTATATATATTTGAGCCGCGCCATGACAAAACCAACACAATGGATTTGCGACCAGCATGGATGCAGCCCAGCCTGCGCATCCGCGCAGTCTGATCAGGATCCATGCTGTTCGCTTACCAACTCTATTACAAGTAGAGAAACTGATAGCGAACAGCATGGATCCTGATCAGACTTCGCGGACGCGCAGGCTGGTCTGGATTCATGCTGGTCGCAAACGCACTATGTTGGTTTTGTCGTGACCATTTAATCTGATGATTGTATACCTGTAGGCGGAAGGTGATCATGAGATGACAGTGGACTATTGGGAGCTGATTGGAGCATCGCCAGCAGGAGGAGCTGATAATTTACTCAATGAAGAGGCACATGTTGATGTACAGCTTGATAACAGGCATATAATGATCAGGGGAGAGAACGTTAGTACAAATCTGCTTTATTGAGCTCGTTCAGTCAGGAAGGAATAAGCGTGTTAATTTTCAGTTTCTAACACGCTTTCTTGAACTGCATAACTCCCGATATCATCCATTTTACCACATATTCGTCCGTTTGAAATCTATTAATCTGTTTCATGAATTGAAAGTGTGTGTGTTTTTTTTCTTCAACATCATTATTGAATATACCAAACGATGTAAAATATACATTCAGCTCACATATTAATAAAATATATTACTAATTATTATTGGTAAAACATAAATATTTATTACATGTATATAAAATTTACTGATCAATGAATTATTGAGAAATATTGATGACATAATTGCATATTTTCATTTTTTGTAATTTTTGCTGTAAACATATTTTTCCCATATATATTCCGTACTTTACTTTCACTGTTGTCTTCCCCGTACTACTTTTTTTTAAATTCGGCCTTTTCACAAAATTTAAAGGGAAGTCTTTTTTTTAACCATTAGATCAAGTAAGAGCAAAAATTTAAGTTTTTTTTTCTATAAAAACGACATTTATTTTCAATGTGTGTTTCTTTCTCAGACATCTAAAGTTTTAAAAATGAGGTCAGCCGTGATGCATTGTTTCCGGGAACATTACTTCAGTCGTGGATATTTCGAGGTCACGGCACCAACACTTGTGCAGACTCAAGTAGAAGGGGGATCTACACTTTTTAAGCTGGATTTCTTCGGTGAGCAGGTACGTATACAAGATTGTTAATATTTATGTTACAATAATGAGACGTTTACAATGAGGGAGGGCGAGCATGACTCCTTGCCATACTGATTTTGTGAAGTTACCTTGGTGCATCAGTTACAAAACATTTTAATGAATAGTTTTGTCAAAGTAATAACGTTTCGTAAGAGGACCTTAAATGTGTTTCTTTCTACAATGTATTTTTTTCAACACCGTTTTGACATGTATTCGTCTCTTTCTTTGTGTGGCGAGGTATTTATTTATTTTCGTTTTCACTCACTACTACACATTTTTGTCTTTTATTGTACAGGCGTATTTAACCCAATCGTCACAACTGTATCTTGAGACAGCTATTCCGGCAATGGGTGACGTTTTTTGTATTGCGAGTTCCTTCAGGGCTGAACAATCCAGGACCAGAAGACATTTAGCTGAGTAGGTTATAGATAATTTAGGGTAGGTTAGGGGTAAGGTTATTCAGTCGTTCCGTCACGATCATGGTCAGTGGGGAGTTTACTGTATGAGGAAGAGCGTCAGAGTCTCTACGGTCTTACATTTCTGTCAAGATACCAGCGGACACAAGCATTCTATTTGGCTGGATAGTCGCAGTATGTGTTAGCTTGACCCTTATTACATTTTAAGTCTTTTTTATTAACCAGAGTACAGATGTCATACTTAGATAAGAGAAAATGAATGTGATCAAAAGGTACGTCATGCATTTAAAACATAAAAAACATGGAAAATAGGCAGCCAATATTGTTTATGTAATTTTTTTCCAATGTGCATGTTATATTCTTAGGAATTTAATATTTATTTATTTATCTTAACGGTTGTCCAAAATTAAGATCTTATTGGTCTTGGTATTGATTTTCGTATGATTATTTTTTCTCTTTATAACTTCCATGACAGTATCATTAGCATAATTTTCATGCTGGAACAAGAAAAATGTGATTGGAATCAAACCAACTCATCTACTGCTCTAATCATCATTTTAGACTGAGATAAAGATACCTTATCCTCTATTTAATATCGTTTTCACTTTAAAGCTCGGTTTATGTCTTGATATTTTATCTTTAGAAATGTTAAACAATTTTTTATCTTTTACTATTAAACAATATATGGTAAATATATATGGTATAGTTTGCCGTATTTAAAGATATGATGTGTTTTATTTCAGATACACTCATATAGAAGCCGAATGTCCGTTCTTATCGTTCGATGATTTGTTAGATAGACTTGAAGACTTAGTCTGTGACGTTGTCGATAGGATATTAAAATCCCCATTTGGACATATTGTGTATGAACTCAACCCGGTAAAAATATTCATCATCATCGACTTTCTTTAAATTAAAGTGTACATGCATTGCGTGCGTGTGTGAACCAATATAAGTTCTATACATGTCTATGTTATGAAAAAGTAACGATTGAAGACAGTGTCACACAATCTATTGTTATCCATCACGACCAGAGTCTATGAATTGGCCTGGTACTATATGTTGTTGTAAACCGAAATCACCTCTGAATGTTGGAAGCCAACTTCTTTTTATTATTTTAGAACATGATTATTAATCACCAGTATTATATATGTTCAGGCAAACAAAGAGAGTGGACATGAAGATAAAACATTAAGTTAATAAAAAAGCATTAATTTTTATCATCATAAGTTATTAACACAGCTTTTGTTTTAAATATCAGGACTTTCAACCTCCGAAGAAGCCATTCAGAAGAATGGAATACACTGATGCTCTAAAATATCTGAAAGAAAACAAGATAACAAAAGATGATGGATCATTCTACGAATTTGGTGATGTAAGTGTCCATGGACATACAATGTATTTGTGTAAATTCCCCATAAGTTCTGACGTAATGCATTTTTCTCTTTTTAAGAATGTTCCGTATGCTTGATACTCTGGTCAGATATAATGTTAGGTCTCAATAACCTCAGATTTGTGAGTCCAGAGTCCAAGTCTTAGACGAGGCGCATTTTTGTATTTGATTTATGATGAAAAGTTAACAATCACTTGCAGAAAACAGGTGAGAAATGATAAAGATAACTTTGTCACCAGAGATGTTACTTCAACAAGCACACGTATATGATTGACATAGTGCAGTGTGCGCGCTACATTCAACAAAATTAACAAGATATATTCACTTAAATAAACAAGTGAAAGGTTTTCTTTAACCCTGTATACTTTTAACTGTAAGTCATGATATCTTTGTTCAGGACATACCCGAGGCTCCCGAAAGAAAGATGACTGATGCGATTAATGAGCCGATATTTCTGTGTAAATTCCCAGCAGAAATAAAATCGTTCTACATGCCTAGATGTAAGGAAGACAGAAGACTTACAGAATCGGTAAGGATATCTATTTGAATAAACTTGAAGTAGTCTATACAGTTTTATTCCTTTCACGGACTTTATAATATAATGTACATGAATAGTATGCAGCTTTTACAGGTGAATTCTGCGCGACATTTACTGAACATAAAGGCATTAAGCATATATGCAATTTCATTTTGGTCATTCACATGGTCATTTACATCCCCGGTGTTCTTCGCATTGATTTATGAGAAATTCAGCTCAAATATGGACTCAAATATGTTTGTAAAAGTACAGTGCACTTATATAGATTTGTGACAGTACAGTGTATTTCTATAGAATTTCAACTCATAACCAGATGAAGCCTTTGCCATCAATAAAGAGCTAGGCAACGTACCATGCACATTGCCATGTTTCTATACTGTTGGTATTTTTTGTATTTTGATATTGAAATCACTTTCATGTTTAAATGTTGAATTCTGCTTTTAAAAGTCGGTGATAAGGGACGTGAACGATAGCTTGAACTTCCAATAACTCACCTTATGTGTTCCATTGAAATTTAAGGTTTACCCTATATTGTTTTTCAACTAATTCCTGGTCCTTTACTATGTTTAGCCAATCGCTGGACATGTTACGAAACGATAGTCTGACCTTTATATAAAGTTTCAGTCATGGATGGTCGTCTCGGTGGAACCAAAAACCTTTTGTTAGCCATTAGCAGATAAAATTTGAAATGAAATGATTTTCTAAGAAAAGAATATTGTTGGACATTTTCAGGTTGACCTGTTGCTTCCAAATGTTGGCGAGATTGTAGGAGGGTCGATGAGAGTGTGGCAGTACGATGAGCTAATGGAAGGTTTCCAACGGGAAGGAATAGACCCTGCTAACTACTACTGGTACACAGACCAGGTTAGTTTGGTATATTTACTTTCTTCAGGCACCCCGAAACTATTTATATGACATGAGGATAAATCTACTTTGTACGTTTTATTTATTCTGATTGGGTGTCTACCTCGGCTGGGTAGTTAAACTAGTTGAATAGCTTCTTCACTTTTAAGAATGAGTGGCCGGTTATTTGCAATGAGCGACTTTAGCCTTTAGACCAAGAAGGCTCCGAATTGACTCTGAGATATTTTGTCTTTGCCGCTTGAACTTGGACATTGACCCTTTCTCCGTATATTGATTTTCTGTTTGTATTTTTTGGAGCATGTCAGAGAAAAATATCTTCGTAACACATTAATATCTGAGTACAATGTATATCATATATGTATTTTTTAAGCACGGGTTATGCATATCTTTTTAGCTCGTAACTGCTCGATATATTTCGCTCCTTCTATGTCAAATAGACGTGGCCTGTGGCCTAGAGCAACTTAACTCGAATCATCTTTCGACTCTACGGAAAATGTAATCGATGGGATATATATACTTTCTATAGAATGACCAGTTAGAAAACACAGTCCAGTTCCGTGTATGTTTTACATGAAAATACATCCATTATAACACGTATACATGAATATCGATCAAAATCTCTATCTTATATTTCGTTAGTTATTGAATACACGTTTATATTATTTCTTTTTCCTATAAAGAGAAAGTATGGAACATGCCCACACGGAGGATATGGTCTCGGTTTGGAGCGGTTTTTATGCTGGATTCTGCACCGACATCACATTCGTGAAGTGTGTCTGTACCCAAGATTTGTCGACCGTTGCAGACCTTGAAATATCATTGTTAAATGAACGGAAATACATAGTTGAATTGTATCAACAACTGTTTAAGGATTTTTTTTTATGTGTGACATTTTATGTATACGTATGTGAGGTACAAAACAGAAATGTAGATATTGTGGTTATGGGCTTAGTCTAATAATAAATGTGCGTATTGCTTGATATATTGTAGTCTTGAATTCTGTATTACTGTTTATAATATTTGAACTCTTTTTTTCAAATTCTTTAATAACATTATGACATAGTCAAATTACGTCGAATAACATACACCATCTTAAAAACAGCTTATCTCTTTTACGTCCTAGAGTTTGATAAAAAAAAATGTTAGAAAATTTCCTCCTCAGCTTTATAAGTGGTATGAAAGTAGTACAAGTGCTTAAAATATTAATTACTAACACTTTTGGACAATTTCTTATTTTCTTTACATATCATTTTTTAGAGTTTGTAATATCTAACAATATTATGAAAGTGTCAATGGAGAAATTTTAAAAATCAAACCATCTTCTTTAATCTTTTTTTTTTATCTATATGTCTATATGCGTCACATTACTATGTCTTTGTATGAAATAAACATCATTATATCAAATATCCTTTTGTTTATTTTTGTCAGCCTCTAGCTACAACCAACTTCTCTGCTGCGCATAGTTCAAATGTTTCATTACCAGAATGGAAGTTTATTCACATGGCTGCTTTGAGAGCTTATTCTGCAACCATGATAAGTTAATATGTGCCCCAATTGAGACAATTTATAAAGACACCAGATAGAAAAGCCTTAGTCATTTTTCTTTGTTTGTGTTTTCCTAAACACATGATCAAAATCATCCCAAAGTATTTACCGACTATGGACCACAGTCATGTCAACAGTCATGTCCAAGAGGTCAGTTTTGAAACCCAAAAATGGTGATAATTTACCTCCGTGCAATTTCCAGATTATTAGCCAAAGATAATTTATGAATTTTGAGCCGAAAGGTTACTGTTCAGCGACTGGTGAGCACCTAAATGCACAGTAACCTGTGACAATGAATAAGGAGATGGCCCTGATGCCATTGAAACCTGCTGCGAATTGCAATAAGATTTGAACACTCGTCACGAAGAAATTTACTGAGTATGACGAAAGCTAGAGTGTATCATTATACTTAAGCTGATTTCATTTTAGTTTTTTTAGTGATGAATTATGATAACCGCCTTATGAACACATCTGCGGATGTTTCTAAATTAAAATTTAACCATGTTCCTCTTTAAATGTTGAAATGAACTCTACATAAGTCGGTGCTAGAGGCATGTATGGAAACTTGCTCTTTCTATAACCGCCCATGAACATACACAATAAATTCGAGCCCTGCAACATTTTCAAGTTTGTCGTTTAAGGCGTTCTTTAAGGATTCCGTATTCCTATATTTTAGTTTCTTTAATACTGGTTCGTTAAATAAACGGAGGTCACTTCAGCCTACACCTTTTGTTGGTTTTCAGAGTGGGGTCTAAATTTTTCAGTTGTGACACCAAGGTTTAAAGAAATAATCATGACTTCAGATTTTTAAGTAGTACAAACAAATGCTGTAGTGAAGTTTGCCACAGTTCTGGTGGCTGTGTTCAAAAAACTTTTATGTAGTGCTTGAACTAAACATGGAACTCGGGCTGTGTTAAGGCCTACTGGGTTCCAAAATGTATGTGTTGTTATTATTATTATTTATTTCTGTTTGTTTATTTTATCTTTTTTTCTTTTTGAGAGGGTATTTCTTAAATGATTTTTTTTTTGGTTCCGTGTTACAGCGTCCAAAAATGATAGATTATCATTTTGAAGCCATTTTACATGTAAATTTAGCTGAGCGACTGTGTACTTCTACATCATACTATCGAACAAAGAAGATTATAACAGCTACTTTTGGCGTTGACTGAAATAATTAGTCTTAGTCTAAAATATTATACTATATAGGCGCATCAGTTAAAAGAAAAAATGTAAAAGAACAGAGTGCAGTTATCAAAAAGAAAAATACCATGGAGGATGTTTAACATTAACCGATGAAAAAGATGTCAATGCTGATACTGTTGGATATGGCCTGGTAGGCTATTTCAGTAGCGGATAGTTTTAGGTAAGAAAGAGTTCAGATGATATTGTATACGAGACAGGAGTATGAGAAAAAAATATTGTGGGATTTTAGTGATTGTGGTCTACAAAGACTAACTAACGTTGAATTTTGTTTGAAAATAATAGCTAATAATAATTGACCCTTCTTTGATATAAAATACTCCATTGTAGTTTCTATGAAATATTGGTGAATTACTGGTGAAATCATAGTTGTAACTGACTGCAGCTCTCTGTACGCTTTGATACTTAATAGGCAAGATGTCTTTTGCCAGATGTGCAAAATAATGGAATGGTTACATTATTTACATGTTGGATCCAGTTCAAATCTTTTGAGATGGTCACTTCAATGTATTTTGAAGAATGTAGTGTTTTAAGGATGTACTTTACAGTAATCGAATTCAAATTCCATGTCCAGTCTCTTTTCTTAGCTTCTAACTTATTGCATGAGATCATTTTGTAAGGATTGAGAGCCTGGCGGAGAAATTATTGTCATGTATAATGTGGTGTCATCAACTGAGATGGGCTTTATCGATTTCTAGGGTAAAACTATGATTTTGGAAGAATTTTCAAACAAGGCAGATGCCTTTAAATGGTCTTGACCTGACAATGTCTAACATAAACACTAAAAAGGCGATGCTTTAGAAATGCTTTTTGATTAAAATTTTACATCACTTACACTTCATTTAGATAAAGAGTTATATCTAGCTGAATATATACAAAAAAATAATCATCATCACATTCAAGGGGGCTATTTCTAATTTGCCAGTACGTATAATTCGATGTACTAGAAGTACTAAGGCAAATTAACTAAATATTTGTAGACGCTAAATGTGCCTCTACATTGATCAAGAGTAATCTAAGAAAAGTTTTTACATGACCTGAAGTATAGTAATCTAAGAAACTATGTTGACAAATTGCATAGAGGCATACATTGTTTTCTCTGACAGTAACTCAGAGGGGCCAAGTTCGAATATAAAGAATTTAGTGACTTACATTTATCTTGAACCATTTTTTTGCTGATATTTTACTCTCAGTGTGCCTTTTTGATAGAAAAAATAAGGCCCGAGTCACTACATGTACGTGCTGAACCTCTTGACAACTTACGTAATATTACAAGTGACAACCTATCTATACCTCTATTCGGCGATGGTAACCTGTCATATGAAGCAACCACATCTATCTTCTTACATGTTCAGATGTACATTTAGTAGACGAAAAGGTTCATTTAAATAATGTCTGTTAATAACTGTAGCCTCTGGCACCTGCGTTAAGGGCTTATCATGAAGACTAGGTATTCCTAGCTCCACGTGAGGGTCGAGGTTCAGGAGTGACCCTAGAACGAACTCGGACGAGTGTCGTCACAGGAAGATCTTACAGGAACTTCCTTGTCCCAGTTCCTGCTCTGGTTGAGTTCAGGTCCACGAGAGAGCAGTCAGAGATTACTGTTTCCAACCGATCTGAATTCTAGTTTTGTAAAATTAATTAGTTTCTTACATTATGGTAACAATTCTGTACTGGGTTATGTTGTAACGTTTTGGCAATAAATAAATATTATCGTTTGCTGAAATGATTTTAGTGCTACTTAACTCTTATTTTATTTGTTTATTTTGCGACAATGTATTTTAATTTACGGTACTTTACAATATACGTTTGGTATACGTATTTTTAATAAACGTTTGGTATCATATAATATAATAATCGTCTCAGTGATCAAGATCATTCTTATCAGCCAATGAAAATAAAGTCATGCTTGAGCGATCATCTCAGCAGGTATAAATACGGCGATTAGAGCAAAATTATTCAGTCTGCAGAAAAATTCACCGGGACCAGGTCGTTCTATGTAACTGAAGCCTCGCTTCATACATAGAGGTATATCTAATTGAAGCCTAGCTTCATAGATAGAAAATAATAATTGGCAAAAGGTATATATATCCAATTGAAGCCTAGCTTCATGGATGTAGAGGTAATATATTAAGTTTGTGAATTGCATTTGACTCTGGGTACTTATAGATTTCCACATTTTCTGAAAGCCTCGCTATCAGGGAATTGGTAACATATAGGTATTAAAAATCCAGAGGTAGATTTAAAACGAATTAGATTTGTATAGTTGGAACTTTGTTATAGATCCCTACCAGCAGCTTATCTTCCTATCTAATAGAAGCCTCGCTTCATAGATAGGGAGGTGGTTGCTGGACTATAGGAAATTATCGGGTTGCAGCGTCATATCTATAGCTTTTGAATTATTTCATTGTGTTATAATTACAGTATTGTGACTTTTGATAATTTAATAGTGTATTACGGAATGTTAATTCAAGCTGATTGTTTATAATATTTGATCATTTAAGAATCATTTGTATCTAATCAAACGGCAGGTAGCCCAAAGAAAAATTTATTATATATTCGTTGTACATCCGCTCGGTACACGTTACAATGTTATGCATGCAGACAATTTCATAATGCATACATATGAATTTGAAAATTCAATTGAATAGATCATGTAAATCATTTTATTGTATTGTAATGTGTTTAAAATAGCAAATTTGTTTTTACTTTTTTAGTCGTTGTTTCATGTATTTCCTTTTTACATGCTGTAATAACTGTAGCATATTGTCACAAGGAAATACATTATTGTATTACTTATACAGTATAGAGGTATTACTTATACAGTATAGAGTCATTTCAAATTGGTTAGTTCTTGGTTGATAAAAGATTTAATTATTGTTAGTCTCTTAAACAATTACTACACTTTCTATTATATCACAGTGACCCCTTACTCAACTTTCTGTGTCTCCATTCTAATTCCACTTTTTTTCTTCTTCTTTTTTTGTCTATTTATCTCCCTTTCTCCCATGTCGAGAAATTGTTTAAATTTGATATAAATCTAGGCATTGCCTCTTACCAGAGACTTATATACAGAATATATCTCTGTGACCTACGACATGCTCAGCTCCTCTGTATGAGTCTTTACAAATTACTTCTTACGTAGTATATAGTGATTTATCATCTATTTGTACATATATGTCAAATGCAGGTACAATGAACTGTAATTACAAAAGTTATATTATGTTGCTACTAAAATGTAAAATAAATTGTTAAAACGGTGTTGTTTTTTTTTATTATTTATTTATTTTTCTTTTCTTTTCTTTTCTTTTTTTTTTTTTTCTTTTTTGGTTGTTGTTTTTTGAGGTTTTTTTTTTACAGGAAAGGGTTTCAAACAAGCTTTTAGCTTTCTACTCAATCCTAGATGTAACTTATGTATTGTAATTTTGTTTGTAAATATGCAAGATTAAATGAAAATTGTTTAAAACCACAGATATTTAAACAAAAATTGTTTTTCGAGGCTCATTTTTACTATTTTCTAAGAAGGAAATTATTTAGTGGAGTTCAACCATAAATACCGGTAAAGGGAGACTACTGTTTCACGTAGACTTCTCAGTATTTCATCAACAAAGTACACTTTACGAGGTATAATCACTTCATTTTATCAATTGATGTTATGTTGAATGATTATATATATTATTTTATTCTCATATTAATAGAAAGAGGAGTCTTGTCGCACTACTGTACCTGAAAATGTATTTCATCGCGTACATTGACAGTTTCGTACCTGTGTAATCTCGTACTTTCGATTCGGCAAAGTGGTTGGATACTGTAAAACAAATCCAAAAAATATTTGTTTACCCTATTGAGATAATATGAAAAAGGCAAAGCCTCAAAGCGAGCTCGATTTCCTTTTACCGTGAAATTAGTCCTTCATTGAAAGACATCGCATTTTCTTTTTTTACATTTTGACGTTTATTGGAAAAATTTAAATGCGAAGTCTTTCCATAACTGGCTAATTTCCCATAGCACAAATCGACACGCTTCTCCAGTCGATTTGAATTTACCGGTAAATCACAACTTAAATGCTTTTTATCACAAAAAGCAATTGATTGCATAAAAGACGGAAGCATATTTTCCCAAAAACTGTAAAAATATGCAATAATTACTCACGATAAGTAGTTTATTTATCAATATATTTAAGAAGACACATGAAAGACATTTTGTGGTGACCCCCATATTGGAAATTCCCGGTCATGCTGTGATGTCACTCAAAAAACAATAGTACGAAATTAGTCTGAACATATTCACTTTTTCTGTGCTGACAGGTGGGCGCAGTAAAAATTTCATCTAAAAAATAAGTTCCAGTAATCACCGCATTGCGTAGTACACACCAATGTGGAGGCTGTTTACGCGATTTTTACAAGGGATTTGTTTTAAATTGTTTAAAATTTGAATAAGTTGATTTTGAGAAGGAAAATACACATTTGTGGTAGGATTATGATTATTTGTAACATTTTATATGAGAAGTTTGAATGATTGTGCATGTTTATTGTTTTTCATTTGGCTATGGACTTTTCAATAGATATCTTTAGACGTTAAAGCGGATTTGATCCATGTAAAAAACAGCTTCAAATCCGCGGTTACATCTAAATATTTGGACTACCGTGAAATAATCTAAAATAATCGTTCATTTTTATTTTAAAAGTAATATTTTCCCTATTTATTTTTTTATTTCCCCATCGAAAAAAACCAATTTTCTAAAAAAAAATAAAACTGCTTTTATTTAGTTGACATGACATGGGATTGGTCAATGCAGTGAATATGTACAGATAAAGGTCCTTATCCTTTCCTCTCATCTGTTTTCTAAGGAATAGATAATGAATATAGAAAAATAATGTTTCATTTTCAGGGCAAATATCTTTTTTTTTTTGCAAACGTTATGTATATATAAAGTTATTTTTAGACTGTTTTGGAGTATCTCATTGTTAAGAAAGAATACCGTGAATGTCATGTTTTAGGAAAATATTACTTGTATTATTTCAAATTGTGTTTTACTCATGATATATGTTTACATTTTTGCTTTTAGATGCAAACATGGGAATTGATGACTGTTGGTTTGTTGATACACACTGTTTTCTTCTACTCAATATTTGACATTTACTTCACATCCCCAATTGTACATGGCATGACCCCACATTCGTCCCCTACCACTCCACCAGCTAAACGACTTGTACTCTTCTCAACAGATGGACTGAGGGCTGACAAAATGTTTGAATTGGATGAAAACGGCGAAACTCGAACACCTTTCCTAAGGTCAGTTTCTGTTTTCATTCGTTATTGTAATGATTTTATGGTGCAATTTATTTGGTACTTTAATCAAATATAGTGAAATAAATTTCAAAACTGATTTTAACAGATGTAAATTACTAAGTCTAAAAATCATTTACATTATTAACATTATTTCCTTGTATGTTATTCCTAAGCATGGTTTATTTTCAATAAAAAGATGTTTATGGATGGTCATAATACTATTTTGGAGTTATCTTTTGATACCTTGATATTTAAGGAGTGTGATTGAGGAGACAGGGGCTTGGGGTGTTTCACATACTCGGGTGCCAACAGAATCTAGGCCAGGCCATGTGGCCCTTATTGCAGGATTTTATGAAGATGTTAGTGCTGTTGCTAAAGGTAAACAGCTAACATGTGTAGAATATGATAATACATTCATGACAATAATGTCATTAGTGCCATACATGTGAACTTGTTTTAATGATCAAGTGGGAGATTTTACTTCAAAAAGAGGGAGATTTTAGAATTTGCAATAAACAAAGAAGAAAGGTCTGACATCAAAAATAAGAAGATTTCTTGAATTTGTGAAAAAACCCCTTATTTTAAGAAAAATCTTTGAAAATATGTCTGCAGAAAGTGGGAGTCTCCCGCTAAAAGTTGGAGAGTTCACATGTATGTATTAGTGCAATAACTGATTAACTGCTATTAAATTTAGAAGAACTTATTCTGTTATTGCACTTAGGCAACAAATGATGGCCTATGTTTTGTTTAACTGCTATTGAATTACGAAGGACTTATTCTTTTATTGCACTTAGCAACAAATGATGGCCTATGTTTTGTTTAAAGTTATCAACACTGGGCTACTGATTTGTTTTGTCTGTCATAATTTTCAAAAAAAAAAAACTAAAAAAAATCTAAAATATCATTGTGATTCATCTGTGAACAAATAAATGATAATGCATTGAAGTTTCTGTATAAATATTTTGAAAACCAAATCAATTTCAAATGGCTTTATTTTACGTCAATTTTATTGTTTGTATCATATAATTAATTGATTGACATAAACCAGGAGAAGGAGTCATCTGCACAACTAGTGCATGATAATTATGTATATATTAAGATATACATGTCTAAAGTGTACCGGTACTTCTAAAAGTACCAGTTTGATTTATAATTGAATAAAAGGAACTGCTGTGGGAAGTTTGGAAGCTCTGACTTACACAACACTAACAATGGTTCACAACAAAACCAACATAGTGCGTTTGCAACCAGCATGGATCCAGACCAGCCTGCTTATTCACGCAGTCTGATCAGGATCCATGCTGTTCGCTATCAGTTTCTCTACTTGTAATAGGTTGGTAAGTGAACAGCATGGATCCTGATCAGACTGTGCGGATGCGCAGGCTGGTCTAGATCCATTCTAGTCGCAAACGCACTATGTTGGTTTTGTTGTGACGTGGCTCAAATGTAATTTATTCAGTAAATTATACAGTAAGTCAAAATTTCATGTTAATCTACTTTCATACATTTCAGGCTGGAAGGAAAACCCTGTAGAATTTGACTCTGTATTTAATGAGACAACAAACACATGGTCATGGGGAAGTCCAGATATACTTCCAATGTTTGCTAAAGGTAACTATAATATATAATGTATGTATGTATATTTAAAGATAGGATTAATACAAGAGATATTAGTGGAATATAAAATTATAGTTAATATGATAATGCTATCAAAATTTCCAGGGCAAACAAAAAATTGATTCTCTGTTTTGTTTCCTTTCATAGTCCTGGTAAGTAAACATGTGAAACTGGGATATCTAATGGACAATAGAGGATGAAATGGGGATTATTGAAGCAAAGTATACCTACAATCTTCATGATATAGCAGTTATTTATATTATATATAAACACTATACAATATTGAGCAACATAAACTGATACATTGATCATTTTACAATATCTATGGTTTAAATGTTTTCCTGAATTTTAGTTATTTTCCTCAATTATGTAAATTTTCAACTCAAAAATTCAAATTTCAATGATAAAGGTCCCAGTTCTGCTAAAATGACATAATATAAAAGGATCCATTTTATTGGCCGGGTTGCACATTTGCAAACCCGGGTTATAATATGGTGAATGATGGGCAGCGGGCAGGCAGGGAAAATTTTTTGTAACAGTTTTCTCAGCAACTACTTTTCACAGCCTCTTGATATTTAGCATACAGCATTGACACATGGTCCCATACCGTGGGATTTGATTTCAGGTCTGTTGCTCATCCACTTCCTGTTTACAGACTTGGTTAAATTTTCGACATAAACAGTCAGGTAATTTTGTAACAGTTTTTTTCTCAGCAACTACTTATCACAGCCTCTTGATATTTGGCATACAGCATTGATACATCATCCCTTAGTGTGGGATTCAATTTCAGGTCTGTTGCTCATCCACTTCCTGTTTCGCTACTTAGATAAATTTTCAACATTAATGTTCAATGGTAGGAAATTTTCGTAACAGTTTTCTCAGCAACTACTTATCACAGCCTCTTGATATTTGGCATACAGCATTGACACAAGGTCTCATACTGTTGGACTCGATTTCAGGTCTGTCGCTTATCCACTTCCTGTTTACCGACCAAGTTAAATTTTAGACAGTAATGCTCAGTGTGTAAGATAAGAGCAAAGTAGAAATCGTCAAGTTATTGAAATAAATTGCATTTCGTTTAAAGTACATCAATTTCTTCATAATACTCGATTGTTTTTAGTGTTTTTTTTCCGTAACATCACAGCCTCTTGATATTTGGTATACAGTCATTATTGACCCATTTTTATTTACCGGGTACTGATATTTGAATCCATAGTTGATTCAAAATCAGACCAAAATATAACTACATTTATTTGGTCTGAAAGACAGAAAATGTATGGGAACTGTCTACAAACAAACTGTTACTTTGTGACTTAATATAATAATCAACTGGAGACTTAACAACAACAAAAAAACAAAAACACAAGAGACAAAAGAGAGTAAAAACTGTTATAAAACATTTCTACATGTAAATCTGTTAACTGACCAAGAGCTTGAAATAATAATTATAAAAAAGAGATGTTGTAAAAGAAATATTAACCTTATATATTACAGGGGCTAGTGGGGGCCATGTGTTCACAAAGTGCTACCCAGCAGAATTTGAAGATTTTAGCGGATCTTACCATACAAAACTGGATACCTGGGTATTTGAAGAGGTTAAGGTAAAGTGCTTATTTCCTTTACTTACAAATAGGTGAAAAATGAACATTCATTTGTTATATTGTAAATTTCAGTAATTTTTACAGATTTCCTTGAGAAAAAAAAAACAATTGAATTATAAAATTACATTTCTGACAGAACAAACCTATACATTTTCTACATGGGTTACTTGAATGATATTAAAGCATTAAGGGTGAAATGTTGTATTTAAACATTAACCTGCTTAATTTGTGTAATTTGTGTATTTGCCTCACGTTCAATTTGCTACAGTCCATTCAAAGTTTAAAGGGATTCCAGCATAAAAATTCCATAGTTGAACTACCTGGGTGGTGTTTCATTGAAAGTCCTTAGTCTAAAATCAGTCTTATGACCAAAACTGAGATAATTTTGTATTTCAAAGAAAATGTCCTAACTTATGACACCTATGTTAAGAATCTTGTAATTACTGAATTGCAATGCTGATTGGCAGTTACACATTGTGAATCAAAGGGTCTGTTATTGTATTTCTTAACTTTTCTCAGGAGAATGCATTTGTTTATAGTCTACAGTATTTGACAGAAGATAAAAAATGTTTGTTGAAACAGTCTTAAAAGTTAGTCCTAATCATGGTTTTATGTCTTAGGACTTAGGATACATTTCAGACTTGCTATGAAACGCAGGCCAGCAGATTAGACCCTTGGCTCAATACTGGTAACATAGACTGAACACTATCAGTTCCTGTGGTAACAGAAGTAACCCTAAATAATGTAGTAACCCTTAATAATGTACTTCATAGGGATTTTGCCCATCAATTTGAACAAAATAGAGAATTTTGTTTCCATTTTATATCTTCTGTGATACTTGTTTCAGCAATTCTTTAAAGACAGTGGTTCCGATGATGAATTGAGGAAAAAATTACAGCAGGATAAGATTGTGTTTTTCCTTCATCTGCTGGGTATAGACACCAGCGGTCACTCCAGCAAACCCTACTCAAGGTATGTGACAATCAGATAATTGTAGTTACGAAGCCTGTCACTTGCCCCTCACCGCTGTGGGTTCGAATCCCGAAAGGGACTTTGGATTCTTTCATTTGAAAGCTAGCTTACAGAACATTGGTGGTTCTACTCAGGTTCCCTTTTGTACATGAAATAATGCATAGAAGGTCCCGAGGTCTTCCTCCACCAGTAAAGCTGGAACGTTGCCATATGACCTATACTGTGTTGGTGTGGTGTAAAACCCAATCAAACAAACAAACAATAAGAAACCTGTACTAGGAATGTTATGGGGAACCCTGATTGGGATTTCTCATGTTGCTGTTAGGGGCGTCCGTGGCCGAGTGGTTAAAGTTGTTGACTTCAAACCACTTGCCCCTCACCGCTGTGGGTTCCAATCCCGACAGGGACTTTGGATTCTTTCATGTGAGGAAGCTATCCAGCTAGCTTACGGAACGTCGGTGGTTCTACTCAGGTGCCCGTTTGTGCCTGAAAAAATGCACAGAAGGGCACCTGAGGTCTTCCTCCACCAGTAAAGCTGGAATGTCGCCATATGACCTATACTGTGTCGATGTGACGTAAAACCCAAAACAAACAAAAAACATGTTGCTGTTAATAAAAGTAGAAAAATAGTTTCCGGATAATAAACTAGAGTTAGGAATGAGGTATTGTAATAAAACTTGACATTAAGCAAGCTTATTAGAGACCCAGGCTGTCAACTGATTCCTATATTCCTATAAAACTCCTATATTTTGGGTCCGAATCCTATATTTTAAAAAACCTCCTATTTTTCCTATATTCTCCTATATTTTGAATATTTTTCCTCTATTTTTAGCTCACCTGAGCAATGCTCAGGGTGAGCTATTGTGATGGCCCTGTGTCCGTCGTGCGTCGTCGTGCGTCGTCAACTTTGAACATTAACAACATCTCCCCTGAAACCAATGACTGCACATCAACCAAACTTTACAGAAATGATCCTTGGGTGGTCCCCTTTCAAAGTTGTTCAAATGGTTTCGGTCCGTTGCATATGTAGGTCATAGGGCCAGAAAAGGATTTCAAAAAACACAAAATTAAAAAATCTTCTTGTCTGAAAGTACATGGGCCAGAGCTTTGATTTTTGGTATATGGTATCATCTATGGGTCCTCTACCAAAGTTGTTCAAATTTTGTCTCTAGTGTCAAAATTGGCCCCAACCCGGGGGGTCATTGGTTTTTCCTTATATGTATATAGTAAAACATAAAAAAATCTTCTTCTCTGATTTGGCAAAGGCTACAGATTAGATATTTGGCATGAAACATTGTGTAGTAGACCTCTATCAAGATTGTTCAAATAATGGCCCTCGGGTCAAAATTGGCCCTGCCCTGGGGGGTCCTTGATTTTCATTACATACATATAGTGAAAACTTGAAAAATCTTCTGGTCTGAAAGTAAATGCCCTAAAGCTTTGATATTTGGTCTATGGTATCTTCTGAAGGTCCAATACCAAAGTTGTACAAATTTTGTCCCTAGTGTCAAAATTGGCCCCACCCTGGGGGGTCATAGGTTTTTCCTTATATGTATATTGTAAAACCTAAAAAAAATCTACTTCTCTGAATTTGTAAAGGCTACAGGTTAGATATTTGGCATGAAACAATGTAAAGTTGACCTCTACCAAGATTGTTCAAATAATGGCCCTCGGGTCAAAATTGGCCCTGCCCCGGGGGGTCATTGATTTTCATTATATACATATAGTGAAAACTTGAAAAATCTTCTGGTCTGAAAGTAAATGGCCTAGACCTTTGATATTTGGTATATTGTATTATCTGAAGGTCCAATACCAAAGTTGATCAAATTTTGTCCCTAGTATCAAACTTGGCCCCGCCCTGGGGGGTTAAAGGTTTTTAGCTCACCTGTCACAAAGTGACAGGGTGAGCTTTTGTGATCGCTTTTCGTCCGGGGTCCGTAAACTTTTACTTTAAATGACATCTCCTCATTAACCGCTGAGACAATTTCATCCAAACTTCACAGGAATGTTCCTTTGGTGGTCACCTTTCAAAATTGTTCAAAGAATTTAATTCCATGCAGAACTCTGGTTGCCATGGCAACCGATAGAAAAAATTAAAATATCTTCTTTTAAAAAAACCAAAAAGGTAGAGCTTAGATATTTGGCATTAAAACATCTTCTAGTGAGTGTCTATCAAGTTTGTTCAAATAAAAGCCCTGGGGTCAAAATTGGCCCCGCCCCGGGGTCATTGATTTTCCCTTTATGCATATAGTAAAAACTTAAAAAATCTTCTTTTAAAGAACTCAAAGAGCTAGCACTAAGATATTTAGCATGAAACATCTTCTAATGGTAGTCAACCTAGTTTGTTCAAATAAAAGCCCTGGGGTCAAAATTGGCCCCGCCCAAGGGGGTCATTGATTTTCCCTATATGCATATAGTAAAAACTTATAAAATCTTCTTTTAAAGAACCCAAAGAGCTAGAGCTAAGATATTTAGCATGAAACATGTTCTAATGGGTGCCCCGGGGGTCATTGATTTTCCTTATATGTGTAAAGCAAAAACTTGCAAAAAAAACCAAATAGCTAGAGTTTTGTTACTAAGCATGAAACATCTTCTAGTGAGTGTCTACAAAGTTTGTTCATATAAAAGCCCTTGGGTCAAAATTGGCCTCGCCCCGGGGTCATTGATTTTATTTATGTGTTCAGCAAAAACTTAAAAAAACTTCTTTGAAAAAACCCAAATAGCTAGAGTTAAGATATTAAGCATGAAACATCTTCCAGTTAGTGTCTTCAAAGTTTGTTTCAAATAAAAGCCCTAGGGTCAAAATTGGCCCTGCCCCGGGGGACATTGATTTTCCTTATATGTGTATAGCAAAAACTTAAAAATCTGATTTAAAAAAAACCAAATAGCTAGAGTTTAGATATTAAGCGTGAAACATCTTCTAGTGAGTGTCAAATGGGGTCAAAACTGGCCCCGCCCTAGGGGTGTCATTGCTTTTAACAATACAGTCCAACCCCGTTTATACGAAGTGCCTGGGACTGAATATTTACTTCGAATAATCGATGGGTTCGAATAATCGAAATCCGAATATTGTGATAGACGAAAACTACTCCATTTTGACCAGTCGTAGCAAAACTACCTTTTACAACACACTTACTTCCTGTAATCAATTGAGAAAAATAAATATTAAAGAAAAGATGCATAAAAATTATTGTATTGACATTGAAGACATAAATACTTGCATTTTATTCTACATTATGTATCGTTTCGTTTCGCGCAAAGCCTTGATAATGGCCGTGTTGTCACTACGGTATTTACAGCTAAACTCTGGTATTTTCGATTAGGAAAAAGGCTCTCATGTAGCGTTACAATTAATACAAAAATGTTTTGGATGTTTTGACAAATTTACATAAACGTTATGTATGAAAATTATTGCTGTCATCTTCAAGCAATAACAGTAACAAAATCGGACACGGTGCATTACTTTTCATTTTCGGTAATTAAAATTGATTAAAGAGCACACAAAGAGTTATTATCATGATTGTCTAAATACACGCCTGACTGTTGATGTTTTTCACAAGTCGACCGGTCATTGAGTGGATCTGCGCCAATTTGTCTGGCTTCGAATAATAATTAAGCTGGCTTCGAATAATAGGTGTGAAATTCTTTCATAATTGTATTATTGGGAACGAAATTTTACTTCGAAAAATAGGAGGTATTCGGATAATGCATTTCGAATAATACGCTCGTATTTATATTGATTTATATAGAGATAAAAACAGGAACGCAGATCTACTTCGGATAATGCCGGGTATTCGAATAAAGGGTTGTCGAATAACGGGGGTCGGACTGTATGTGATTAGTTAAATCTTAAAAAATCTTTTTTTAAAAAACTCAACGAGCCAAACCTTAGATGTTTAGCATGAAATATCTTCTAATGGGTGTCTACCAAGTTTGTTCAAACAAAAGCCCTGGGGTTTAAACTGGCCCCGCTCTGGGGGCCTATATACAGGTGAGCGACTTCAGGGCCATCATGGCCCTCTTGTTTGCTTTACCTGGCTATAACTTTGTTACTAATGAATGGATTAACTTCACAATGAGACAAACATTCTTTAGGATAAAACCTATATGTATATCAAACTCAAATTGACCTTGGATCATTTATGACCTTGGCTTTGAAGGTCAAATTATTGAATCTTCATTGGTTTTTGTTATAATTGATTGTAACTTGATAATTGATAAATGGATTATCTTCAGACTTTGACAAAATAACCTGAGGCGAAGACCTTACCTAAGCTTTAAGTGACCTTGACTATCAAAGTCAAATGATTGACTTTTTGTTAAATTGTCATAATTTTGTTATTTATGATTTATACAATGTACTTGGACAAAAGCAGACCTGCTCACAAACAAACTTATTTATATTGTATACTTTGACTTTCAAGGTCAAATTAATGAAATTCCCTTGTTTTTTAGCTCACCTGTCACAAAGTGACAAGGTGAACTTTTGTGATTTGCAATTTTGTGAACAGCCATACATAATCTTTTACTTTAAACAACATCTACTCATAAACCGCCTAGCCAGTTTCATCTAAACTTTACAGAAATGTTCTGTGCGAGATCACCTTTAAAAATTGTTCAAATGATGAATTCCATGAAAAAGTCTGGTTGCCAAGGCAACCAGAACAAAACAACTTCAAAAATCTTTTTAAAAAAAGAATTACCCCAAAGAACTAAAGCTTAATTATTTTGCAGAAAAAATCTTCTAGGGAGTGAATACCAAGTTTGTTCAAATAAAAGTAGACCTCTACTAAGTTTGTTCCAATTTATAGCCCTTGGGTCAAAATTGGCCCCTGCCCCGGGGGGTCATTGATTTTCGTCACATTTATATAGTAAAAACAACAAAAAATCTTCTATTATAATAGCATTGCCTAGTGAACACCTATACAAATTGATTTAGTCATACCCCTTTGATCGAAATTGATCCCTCCTAATGACTTGCCTTAGCATTTAAGAATTGT